CCCGGCGCAGCATCCAGGTGCGCCAAATTGATGCTACGAAATTTTTAATTATTAAAAATTCGAGCTTCCATTTCTATATTCATATATATAATTTTAATTTCTTATAAGTATTTCTTATATTTCTTATATATTATTTCTTAAATTTCGTAGCTTCCATTCCAAATATCCATGGAACGAATCCATCCAGATTTGATTTGGTCACGGTTGAGATTTAATGTTTCCTGGTCCGAAATCACACACATTTTGTACGCCTACATTTAATCTAACACATTTAATGAACATCATATTAAATTGATAAATGATTGTTATCAGCAAGGTATGAAAACAAAATAGCAATATGGAACATGATAAATACTGATATAAAATCTTCCACTGTACTTATTCGATATTATACTATGCAGCTAGATTTAATTGACGTTTTTGTGATACTTTCCTACTTTTTAGATTAAAACACGTAACAGGGGACATGCGGTCTGACGGACCGCGCCACATGTTCCTCCCATCAGCCCTATTGCATGCTTTGTCCAAGTGAATGGATTCTTCCCCTAGCTTCACGTTTCGTGACCTTCTTCTGCCCCTTTTATCGGAATGCTTGGCAAGTGTATCTGTTGAAATTCTTCTAGAGCGGTCTGTGAGACCCCCCTCCCTCTCAGTTTACAAGTTTCGGCGTAGTGAACACATGGCTCTGAAGTAGGTCCGCGAGATTCACTTATCCTTCTGATCCCCGTTATGCAGAGAACCTGAAAAAAAATTCTAGACGAAGTTGGAAGTGATTTTAGTGAAGAAGTGACTGTGAAGAAAATTTCTGCGAAAAAAGGCAGCAGTGGTTTTGATGTCATCATTGCATCATTCGATAGAAACAGACTCGGAAACACAGAAACCGAATAATTGCTTTTTATAACAGAATCAAAGTGGTGTTGATGCTTTAGATGAAAATGTTCTGTCCATTCCTGTAGTAGGAGAACAACGCGTTGGCCTATGCTCTTTTCTACCGTTAGTAGATATGAGTACAGTAACGCATACCATTTTGCACCAAGGTTATAATCAAAACCCTGTTATGACCAGAATGGTGTTTTTGAAAGAATTAGCGAGAGAATAAGTCCAACCACTACTACACACGAGAGAAAAATCCAAGAAAAATCCATACGATAAAGCGGATTTTAGGAAAAGAAGCTGAGTCTAAGGATGTGAAGCAGTGCACAAAAGAAGCTGAGTCTAAGGATGTGAAGCAGTGCACAAAAGAAGCAAAATTAAAATCACGGAAAACATGTCGTCTGTGCCCCCCAAGCAAGAAAAGAAAGCCAGCATATTTATGTTTATCTTTCCAAGACCCTGTTAGTTTGGAATGCAAGCAAAAATTATGCAATGAATGTGTTAAAGAAGACGAAAACTCAATTGTTTACTATCAGAAAATCAGTGAGATACTGATATTTTAGGTACTGTCAAATTTTTTGTATTGGGCTATATAAATTAATTTTCTGATGTTAAAATTTGCTTTGAATATTAACTAATATAGATAAAATAGTTAATTCAAAATAGATCATTCTTTTTTAGTTTTAGAATTAGTGCAGCATATGATTTTCATCGAAAATTTGAGGCTATGGGGAATTTTCTGGGAAAACTTAATTCACTTTAAAGTGTAAAACATATTTTCTTTTCAGAGTAAAATGTTAAAGAACATCTAAGTGAACTATCATGATGATATTTTAATTAGACGATTTTTAAAAAAATTATTATAATGCGCGGTCTCTGAGACCGCACGTCCCCTGCTATGTTCAACTTTTTCACCTCCCCTGTTACGGGTTAAAATACATCTCACCTCAAAGCTGTATCATCATCAACTGTGAATAAAATGTAATGTCATTAAAAAGAACTAAACTTACCCCCAACTGTATTTCGTATTATCTTCAGATACAGTCCATAAGATGAAAGCACTTAGACTGCGGGACGAAACCAAATAAATCAATAAATAAAAATTAGTATCTGAAAGCTTCAAACTGCACTATAATTTCTCAAAGAAGTAGTCATCAGCAAAAATTTTAAATTATGATATATATAAGGAAGTTCAAAATTTATATGTCCATTTTCTTTATAAAAATGCTAGCTATAGTCTTCAGCTCAAACAGCTAAATCTTTTCTGTTGAATAATATTAACACACACTTAAATAGTACTTCTATTTTAATAACACTCAACAATTATTTCAAAAAAAAAAAAAAAAAAGAAATTTTAACTTAAAATAGTAAAAAGTGAAATTACGGTTTGAACAAAATTAAAAGCAAGAAATATTAAAAAGGACTTTTCATTCTGAATGTTTCTACACATACTGGCCAATAAATTAGAAACCCAAGATTTTGTTGGACCACCTTTTCGCAAGAATAACTGCTCTGATTCATTGGGCCATCGAGTCCGCATGGTTCGGGAGTGCATTTACTTCCAGAGAATTCCATGCATCGGCTATGCAGCTTTTTAGATCTTGTAAGTCTATGAAACATCCGTCACCATCAGCGTAAAAAGGCAACATCGTAGAGTGCACTTGATCTGCCAGTATATCTAGATATCCCATGGCTGTTTGTTTATTCTCGAAGAACACCAGAACACCACTTGCACGCCGGCAGAACATGCCCCATATCACGATACTCCCACCAGATTCTTGCACAGTGCGAGTAAGGCAAGACGAGTTCATGGATTCATGAGATTCTCGCCAAATTCAACGTCTTCCATCAGTGCAAAATAAGGTGTAGCGTGATTCATACGGGTTACAGCCGAAAACATCGCGGACGAAAACGTCGCAGAGAAAACAACGCAAGGCGAAAACGTCGTGCTAGAAAGCATCGTGGGAGAAAACATCGCAAAGAGAAAACATGGCAGTTCTAAAACATCGTGGTACAAAACATCGTCGTCCAAAATATCGTGGTAAAAATAAAGAATCTACAAGTCATCGCATGACGATAACATCGAAGACATGCTTTTTTCAGGCTTTAATAACTGTAAATGGATATTCCCATAATGATTTGTGAGCGCAAGATGGAAAGAAGGATAATTTTTACTTTCATATTTTTTATTAACTAATAAATTTTGCTGAACAAGTAAAAAGGAAACTTAAACATAGAAAATTAATGCAACTTATAGCACTTAATAGAATTTTAAACCGACATAGTTAGCTAACGAAGGTCAATAATAAATCATTTTTTATGAAATTTTTACTGGTAATTTTTCATGAAAAGTATAATCTATAAGTTACATTTAATTTTCTATGCTTAAGTTTCCTTCTTACATTTTCAGCAAAAATTTATTAGTTAATAAAAATATGTGAAAGTAAAAATTATCCTTTGTTCCATCTTGCGCTCGCAAATCATTATGGGAATATTTATTTACAATTATTAAAATCTAAAAAAAGCTTGTCTGCGATATTATCGTCATGCGATGATTTGTAGATACTTTATCTTTTACCACGATATTTTCGACAACGATGTTTTTAAACTGCGAAGTTTTTGAACCGCTTTATTTTCGACGTCGATGTTTTGTACTATGATGTTTTGTATCACGACATTTTCGCCCTGCGTTGTTTTCTCCGCGAGGTTTTCGTCCGCGATGTTTTTGCAGCGATGTTATCGGCGGACACCATTCATACGACCACATTACCCGTTTCCAATCCTCAGATGTCCAGAATCTTCTTTCCCGACATCATTGCAAACGAATTTTTGCATATCGGGTAGAAATGAGTGGTTTTTTTCACAGGCACCCGACTATGCATTTCTATCCTCTGCGCATGGTTCGAGTTGAAATCTGTTGGGAAGAGCCTTGGTTGATGATCTGTGAAGATCTCTGTAGGTTCTGATTCCAACATTTGGAAACCTTTGATATGGCTGCTTTTGAGAACCCAGTGAGATTTGCTGTCTTCGAAATCGAGGCCACTGATAAACTGCACCAACAATAAGCCGTTTTTCAAATGATTGAAAGATCTGCCGTTTTTCTCCTTATGCTTTATTCATCGTGAAAATCACTCTTACATATTACTGATCCTAGCATTCTAACTGCGTGTAAAAACGTCATAAAAACAACTTGCATAAAAACACGTCATAAAACGTCATAAAAACCACGTCATAAAAACAACTTGCATACTTCATCCCTAGCGCTCATTCAAATGAAAATCTCAAAGGTTTTTTTAATTCATTGGCCAGTGTGTGTATATCCCAACTATTATATTTAATTTTTAATGCAGATGCTAGTGCACACAAGAAGCAGAATTAGAAAATTTTGTATTTTCATTTCCTATTTATTTACATATCTTTATTATTATACACACACACGACTCTTTATATAATATGTGATTAAGGCATTCGAAGTTGCGAGTTCGTTTTTGCGAAAATGCTGTTAATGTTACTTCTCACTTTAGAAATGGTTTAAAACATAGGTAACAACAAATCACATTGAACACGTCTTGAATGAAACAGAAGGGCCCGTGAATCTGAAGCAAAGTCGAGTGACACTTAGAGACAAGGAAAAGATAAAAGAAGATGATTCTTAAAGACAGCTATCTGATACTTTTATGGAAAGTAATTTAGTATCCAAATAACAGCATCTTCCTGAATCGAGCAGAACCCAAATATCGGGAGTCCAAGATGTCTTGTGTAATTTTCAGTTGCTGTCTGTGATACATGTAACCTTTTTGCAATCTCTTGCACAGTTACATGACGCGTAAGTTCAATTATGGCTTTAATTTTGTCGTCATCAACTTCAGAAGATCAGCCATAACGTTGGTCCTCTTCAAGTGAAAAAGCTCTTGAGTAAAATTTTTTAAACCAATTCTGGCATATGCGTTTTGTTAAGCAATCAATACCATAAACTCCGCATGTCTAATTCTGAGCCTCAGAAGCTTTGTTGCCTTTAGGAAAATAAAAATTCTGACGTGGATACCACATGACTTCTTTATACCATCTGTTAAATTATACACATTTTTTGCTGCATTTCCTTTAAACTTATTTCCTCGAATTTAATTGGAGATATATTTCTCATTTAATTATTATCACTTCTCACTTCACGGCAAGACAAAAATATATGAAAACTCAAAATATCTTCGTTAAATATTAACAAATATGACGTACACACACGTTACGTACGTACGTACACACGTCACGAAAAAAATTTCTTCTGAATCCATTTTACAATCCGTTTTGGAAAAAAGAGTCCTTTATTCTCCTTTACGTACAGTTCTTTACGTGCAGATGTAAGATTAAGATTGACAGTAAACTAACATTCGCAAGGAAAAATACACAAAATTTTTTTCTATAGCAACATAAAAGTATCAGCTGCAAAATCTCAAAAGAAAGAAAAATTATAAGATTGATAGAAGAATAACAAATCAAAGTCCATCTATTTGTGCAAACCGAAATTACTTTCTTGCCAAATCAATAGGTACTTACTTACCAGAAACCCTGTATTTCTAAGTTTTGAACTTAGTAACACATCTTACTTCAAAATATGTTATTGTTAAACCAGCTGAGCGTGCAGATAACGCGCTAGGTTCACAATCAAAATATTCGATTTATTTAAAATTTTAATTATGTGTTTAATTAATTATATTAATACATATTAATTAATTATATGTTTTGGAATTTCGCAAGCATTTTATTTTCAGTTATTATTGTTGTAATACTTTACCTGGTTAACCCAAGAGAGGGAAGAACTACGACAGTCAGTACCAAAAAGGAAAATGTTTTCTTCATTATCGATCTGCACATGGCGGATCTGTTAAACAAAATAATAAAAATAAATAAAAAATAAAAAAAAAAAAATCTGAAATGTTTCAGATTTTAAATTACGTCCAAAGGGGCGTTTTTTAACATTTTGTGTGTTACTTTTCTTTATTAAATATCATGTTCCTCGCACTTAAACCATAAGATCCAGTGCAACAGCAATATCGCAAAATAGTTTTAAAACGAGCATATCTTTAGAATTTCCGATACAGAGACTCACGCGCTGGAGATAAAAATGTTTTTTCTACACAACGTTGCCATTGCTCGCTTTGAAATCCTGAGTTTGTTAATCAAAAATTCGTCAAAGTTTTAAAAAATAGGAAATCGATCATAAAACACAAATTTCAAATTTCAAATTTGGTCTTCCAATGCTCATATTCGTTGGAGGATTACGTTATTCAAAATTCGATGACTCTATGTACCGTTGTTTTATCACAATACGAGAAATATATATACATTTATGCAGATTTTCATTATTTAATTTCTTCAAATATAATGCAGGACTCTAACATTTTGTGGCAACAGTTTGAAAAAGTGAACCGACATTTATGAGTCCGACGCAAAATGCCAAAACGAAACTAATAGTCCTTCGGGATTCAAATCCCTTTGGACTAAAAAGTTACAAGCAGCATATATTTATTTAAAATGTTGACATTAACGAAAACGTTTCCACATATAATGATGCCACATGCAGTCGCTTGTTTTCTTACCAGACTTATTTTCTTCAACGTCAGAATATGACCTTACATAATAATAATAATTTTAAAGTTTGTCAATGCTATTTTTATTTCATACTAGCCGTCGTCTGGCTTTTAAATGTACAGAAAAACAAACGTTCCCTCTACAAACGTAATATCCAAGTACCTCTCGACAAACGTCCAGTATTCAAGGGAAACATTAAATTCAAAAACTGCAGAGAATTATCGCCCTCATTTTTCGAGTGGCAGCAATGCTGATATCAGCAAAAACGGCAACAGCGATATATCAGCAACAATGGCTGCGTGTTATTATTGCTGATATAATGAGAGAGAATTATCGATTGGTTGCGATTTCATCAAAAAACATAAAGTATAAAAAAAATCTTATTCAAATTTTGAAAAAAATCGCTTCGAGGTGCATTGGCTCTTGTCTAGATGCACCCCTATGCAAATTCTATTAGCTTACGCGCAGCATGAACGAAAGACACCCAGACAGACTCCTCCTTTTATTATAGGTAGAGATTTTGTAAAACAAATTTTTATTAACAAACTACGATTTGAAAGCGAACAGTGGCAACACTTTTCGAAATAAAGCAGATTTTTTATATATCTCGGCTGATTAAATTCGTACGAAGATGAGAATGATCGATATGGCTTTCCACGAATTTTTGGAATCCGGGTGGTACTTCTGTCGAAACTCCAAACAAACAAACGAATAGACGTGCACATATTTTAATAGTATAAATTGTTTTTCAGTTTCACCATACGTTTATAATTTTATATAAAACATTACCTAGCATAAAACTCATGATTTTGATATATCCCTGGAATTACACACTTCCACCTAAGATGCACATTTACGATTATCAATAATCATCAGCTTTGAAAGGAGCTCTGTCTGACGCTCTGTCAAAAAACAGATTCAAGTCCTTTGTCTCAATGGATCAAATGGTTCTTTCGCTCAGTGTACAGCATGGTAAGAGCCTTAAAGGTATACTTATTGGGTGCACTGGTTTCAAAGAGTTGCGAGATTTATCTGCATCCCATAAGCCTTTTATAATAATAGAGAGAAGGGTGAGGGAGATGATAAAAGAACTATAACTTTAAGGTGGGTATAGTTATTTTAATATCGTAAATACGATTTAATGAAAAGTTAGTGTTTTTTAAATTGAAAAGAGCAGAAATTCTGAAAAAGTGCTTGAAAGATTAAAAAACCTTTTATATTCAAGACATCCACAAAGTTTTTAATTTCCGATTTTTATAAATTTGGGAGTTCGTTCCATACGTATAAAATCTAGCTGTATATCTAAAATATCCGAGCCGTATAAAAATAACTTAAGTTTATAGGAAATTGAACGCGGGCCAAACGGTTCCTTCGTTACACACAGGGTTCGTTATAAAGCGGATTCGTTGTAGCGGGGTTTGACTGTAGTATTTTTTTTCTTTTCACAAATTTCTTTCCTCTGAAATTTCTTTTCTTTCCTGATTAGATAAATATCACGAGAAAGGTTGATTATTATTATAGTGGAAAATTAAATGAATTTATCGTTATGAAAAATGATGCAGCTGAAACTTACAAAGGTAATTTAAGTAGTTATCAGTTATCATAGTACTAAAATGTTCTTGTTTATGATTTTATGCCTATTAACTATATTGTCTTATTATTTTGACAGTACTATCACTTGTACTTTCGTCGGCTCCCACCAGGATGAAAATTAATTAATGTGTTCAGTTCGTGTCTAAGTCCGTGCCGTTCATCACTGGGTTGCCGTTTTTACCATGCTATGATTTTATTAGTGTAAATACACTACAATACACAATAATACGACACGCATAGGCTACTTCATAAATGAATGATACCTCACGTATTCACCAAGGTAATCACCATTTTTGTCAATACACCATTTCTGCCAGCGTTCAGATAGGAGTTCAGTGCCTGTTCTGCAGAAATGTTATGGCTTCGAGTTGTAGAAATCTGTTAGTCAGTTTGATAAGAGAAGCTTGCTCATGAAACTCTTGTTCCTGAATGTTGTTGGAAAGAGACCGGAAAAGATGGTAATCAGAAGGATTACCATCATTTTCTCTGCTTGACACTGTGTACTGATTAGCCTTGTAAATGGCCAAAGGGACCCGTTAAAGACTTACAAGCTGTTGGCAACAAACTCCAAACTGAAGAGAAAAAAAAATTAACAACGAAAAACGAAGGCTTAACAATGTAGTGTCGCCAATCCAGTAAACTTACTTATGCACCAGTCTATAATTCTTGACGTCTTTTGTGTTTCTTCATATGTAAGTAAACAAGCTCTAAAATTCATGCTTTGTTCTGGTTCTTTGAAGATATTTCAGATTTCAAAACGAGAAGTTGACTTTACCAAACACGTTTATTGTTTCAGTCTTTTAAAATACGTATATATCTGCAGTGAGGAAGGTATCTCGCTCGCAATTTTCTATTATTTGTTAAATATAATGTTGTTCACACTTAAACCCATAAAATTCAATCCAGCAGCAATATCTCAAAATATTTAAAAGAGCATATTTTTAGAATTTCCGATACATAGTCTTACGCGTTGAAGACAGAAAATGCTTTTTCCCGTTTTTGCCATCAATGGTTTTGAAATCGTTGAGTCTCTTAATCAAAAACTCATAAATGCTTTACAAAATATGAAATAGTTAGTAAAATAAATTCCAAATTCGGGCTTCAATGTCGGTATTCAGGTGAAGACGCACGTTAATCGAAATTTGATTGCTCTAGGTACCGGTGTTTTATCCAAATGCGAGAAACATACATATGTTACGGTGAAACACCGAAATCTGGAGAATGTCGACTTTCACCGGTGAATGTCAACATTCACATAGTCTCTTGGTGTATGTTCGAAATATTTTCCAAATACTCTTATTTCTGACTTACACCGGTCAATGTCGACATTCACCATGTACTAATGGTGAATGTTGAACATATAACAATATTATATTTTCTTCTCCGTAATTCAGTCGCAAATAAACGCACTTGAGACTTGAAATAAGAACTTAAGAACATGAGAACCTAAAACACACAATATATTCAAAATGAGAAAGGAAAATAATAGAAGTTAAAAACTTACTTAATTATACAGTACGTTCTAAATGAGAAAATAAAATAACAGTAATAAAAAAACTTACTAAATTATGTGTTTCAATCTTATTTATTGCAACAACTTAAACTATTATGGCCCTTTATGACCTGTCTTTTCACTTTCACCGGAACATATCTGTGATTGTCGACATACACCGGTGAGAGTCCGAATATACAAGAATGTAGTGAAATATTCGGTCTTTCACCGACGTATTTGGTGAATGTTGATATTTTCCGGTGAAAGTCGACATTCTCGAATTTCGGTCTTTCACGGTAACATATACATTTATGAAGACTCTTCATTATTTAATTTTTTTAAATAAACTAATGGGCAATAATATTTGGTGGCGACAAATTCAAAAGTGATTCGCCTTTTTTAGTGAATCGACGCAAAATGCCAAAATTTAAACAATACCCTTTCTGAGCTAACACGCTTCTGAGCTAATAACGCTACAACTTCCTCCAATGTCGCTTTTTGTTAGTGTACTCCATTTAGAAGCATTAAAACATGCATGAAAAGAAAAACATAGTGTAATGGTGTCTATTTTGGGACAGATTCAATTAGTAACAATCACAGACTTGATTGATGACGCCACGCGGTGGATATAGGTTGCTTGTTTTCCTCTTAAAGTTCGGCCATTTAATTGCCAAACGATCGTGATTTGAACGTTGAAACTTGTATCGATAGTTGCAGAACGTCATCGGGAATACAATGATATTAATTTTTTGCAATTTTATGACATTTCACATGCCGCCCAGATGGTATGGTGGTTAGAGGAGGCAGCTGCGATACCAAAGGGCAAGGGGTGGAATCCCGGGGAAGCCATAGTCAGTCCCTTCATAGGAGGCAAAGTGGCCGGGCTACCTACTAGGTGCCTTCATGATAAAGTGAGGACCACATTTGGTCTTAGTAGTGGCCAAGCCAAAGTCGGCTGAGGGTCCTTGGTAAAAAAAAAAAAAAAAAAAAAAAAAAAAAAAAATAATATTTTACATATTTCATAAATTGTTGGTAAATAATTTTTGTTTACACACGTATTGCAACACGAATATAACATCAGGAAATTTCTCTCTCTCTCTTAGAAGACAAGAACGTTGCAAAGACCGCTTGTTAAACATGTTGTCTATTTATTGTAGGCGTAAAATGACTTGCAGAGGCAGTATAATACTGCATTAGCACGGACTAAACAATAAGAGCGAAAGACATGGAGTGAAGAATAAAGCACAGATTAAAGAATAAGGACTCTATATATTTTATAAATGATAAACAACTGAGTGTATTTTAATCATGTAATTGTAAATTATTATATAGCCAATATATTTAGTTAATAAAAGACCTAATACTAAAATAGTATTAGTTATTTTATTTACTATTATAATTTAATCTGCTTATTTCCTTGAGTCGCAGCGTATAGTGTTATTAAGTATTAGCACGCCGTTCAACCGATGTAGTGGTTAGCAACTGCCGTATCGAAGGGCCTGGATTTGAATCCCGAAGAATGCATGGATTTTTGTAAATATATAGTATCCGTGCGGGATGGGGACACTAAATACGCAGCGAGCCGAATGTCTTCTCGAGAGGTCGATAGTAGGGAAAGAGAAGTGGGAGACTCTCTCACTTGTCCCCCCCCCGGAGTACTCTCCATTAAGATTGTGGGCGGAACTGAGTAAAGTCGCTCTATCGCCTGTATGGTGGTCAAGGCTGTTGCCAACGACAGGGGTCATCCTGTGCTCCTTGTCTGACTATACAAGTGAGCATGAGTAAGCAACAACAACAAGTATTAGCATCATTATTACTGATGTATAATACGATACGATATGCATATCTTTACGATATACTCACCATAAGTTTGGCCTCAGGTATAGTTTTAAGACTGGTGGGATAAAAGGGCTATAGAAGATTTTTACACATATTTAGAACAATTTCGATAATGAATTTTAAAAAATCAAATGTTTCGATACAAAAGTTTCTGGCAACAGCTTATTATATGAAATTAGAAATATCGCATGTTGCTATTAAATTTATTCTTCTTTCAAAATATCTCACTTAAACAAGCTGTAGATTGGAGGATATGTTTTTGGCTTTCTGAAGAGACATATTCCTATTCCATAATTCAAAAACTTTGTGAAATACATTGTATTAAAATTTCTAAGTAAAAAATAATCAGTATTATTAATAGGAAAGGGGAAAATTACTACACCTGGAAATTTTACGAAAAGCCGTTCTATCACGGAAATCACAATGCAGACATATAGCCCAGAAAAAAATGCTATCAGATCAAACATTTAAAAACATACTCTTTACATTTTAAACATTAATTAAACGTCCACGATTTTTTTCTCAAAATGTGTAAGCACCCTCTGTATATCTGCTTATCTGGTAGTAAAGACATGGTAATCCCCATGATTAACCCTGTCCTGTCCTGTACTGCTGAATGCTTATATTGTAATCACTTTCATCACAAGAATTTTAGTAGAATACATTTAAATTATTTGATACGTGTGATCACTGCTTAATCATTTGCAGTATTTGAAACGGCGTGCATTTTAACCAGCCATCTAAGAAATATTTGTCTAGATGGGAAAGTTTTAAAATTGAAAACTTTATATTACAGTTTTTATCCAGTTTTTTTATTTTTATTTTTATCCAGTTTTTTATTATTATCCATTTTTATTACTACTCATAAATAGTCTACATGTATAATTTATCACGCTTTTAATGTTTTCATGTTACCGGTTTTATTCCTTTGTGTTTCTGTTGCTTAATAGTAATTTTACTGTAGAAAATAATTAGTACATATTTATCTTTTAATTAGGCTTCCTAAATTACTTACTTTGTACCAAAATGGAGATATTGTGAGGAGTTTGACACCAAAAAATATATACTCATAGAAAGGCTCCAGGCAAGGATCGTTGGTAAGACTTTAGAAAAAATTATACTCTGCATGAAAGAAAAAAAAGGTAGCTTACATTTTTTACTTGCTATCATAGTTTACTATATTATTAATTAATTGCATAAATGCTTTAATAATTAGATGTTAGTGAGCGTGGGTGTTTCTAATGATATTTTTCGTCTTTCGAAATGTCGATTCTTTATCTCTTCAGATGATTTGGAATCAATCACTTATTCATAACATAACAAAATTGTGACATTCTGTGTTAGACTGAAAATTTTATACAAAGACCAGAGAATGTACAAAAGAGAATTATTTTGTAAAAAATTTATTAAAAGAATAATTTTCAAAATAACTAAACTTTTCCAGCAACCGAAATGGAATTTCCCTGCTACTGAAACTAAACCTCGATAATAGTATTAAAAATAGGCACTTAATTATTCTTTCGATTTTGTAATAAAGAGTTTACTTCGTTTGATTTCGCCATCAGAGCCAAGTTATTTTCGAATGAAAATGGCTTATGTCGGAAGTCCTGTTTGGACAATATTCTTTCCTTTCAATGCACCATGAAATGATTATCCGTTACTAGATGTAAATTTATAGTAGACAGAAACACTGAACTGTTGCAGCTGAAATAGTTTGGTTCAATTGTGACAGACAAACCATTCCTACTTAATAAAAAAACAGCCGTTATTGTAACATAAATACATTTATTTTTTCCTAATGATTTACAAATTTACTCCTGCTTACTTACAAATATGCTGTTTTTGTCGAGAATTCATCCTTCAATCAGCTCAATTCAGTCTAATAAGTCAATGTTTTCTGTGATATAGGAAAGAAAACTTTCATACCGAAAATATAACGGTTTATTTTGAAAAGATCCGAATAGAGTAAGCAGGGTGTAATTCTGTCCTATTCTCCTGATTCCTAAATCATTGAAGACCACTGAACAGTAGAAGTTCGATCCTGTTCAATCCCAGGCAAATGGGCTGGCTTTATCGTTGATTTCCGTGATTTTCCCTTGAGCAAAGTTAATACAAACCAGTTTCCACGAAGGCATCTCACTCCTTAGGCAGACAATTCTCTGTACTTTGCCATGTTCAAATAATCTAATCTACCTAAATTAAATGATTAAAGTTCTGCACGATTTATCTTGTACGTAGCCAAACAATTTTTAAACTTATTTATTCTACAGAAGAGCGTTTCTTATAGAATACTAGCTACTTCATACTACTTATTCATATATTCTCTGCTATATCATCTGTATATGAACAGTTCCTTTCTGTTGTTATTGTCTGACTATATGAACGAAACTGCCAGATGTCCATTTCGAACTGATTCTCCCTCTAATTTAATGTAATGCGCTTGTGCATGTACACGACTGTTCAAAATTGAGACAATTTGTACATTTGGTTGATTATCTCTAGAACTAATGGATATATTTGAATGAATTTGTAGGGGCATAGATTGATATAGAACGCAAAATATACCATTCAACATCTTTGGTACATACATACAATCTTAAGTAAGGGTCATCGACGCAGAAACATAATTTCATATTGTAACTGAGGCAGTTTATGAGTACTGTGGCAGCCAATCCTACTGCTGCTTCAAAGATGATTTCAAATCCTGAAGGCCTGTGGGAAGACGAAAGCAAATGGCGACTGCTCTCTCAAGATCCTCCTAGACATGTTCTGTAAGAAGTAAGTCTGATGAACTGATGAAATAAACCACACAGATAAAATTCTCACTTTTGAAAAAATCTTCAAAAGCGAATTGGTAGTCAAATATACTCCTGTAAAGAATTAACGTAAGGCTGTAACATCTCTTCCCTGTATATCGCACCAATTATCTGACATGAAGGTCTGTGCGCCCGTCCAACATGATATCTGGATAGATGATCAGATCTCCGCTGCTGTACTCCTTCCTTTGTGGTTGAAGTACAGGCAACAGGTTCCTGGCTCTTGCCAGACGAAGGTAAGTCAAGAATCAGTGACAAAGTTAAATCAAAACTCATCTGTGAAGAGAAACGTCCGCTGCTGATGCTTGCCCCCAAATGGATGCTATCAGCACCATGCTAAATGGCTTCTCTTATGTGCCTCAGTATGTAGGTGCGTCTTCTTGCAAGCAGGACTTCTTGCTAACAGACGAGATCAAAGAGACTTACGGTGACTTTTTCAAGGGTGTAATTGGCCCTCAGTTCATTTTCAGATACTACAACGTTGGTTCATCTAGGCATAATCTGGTGAATGAATTTCTGGAAATTGAGTATATTAACCAAATATGGATTGAGCAGTCATATCCCCATACCTAAACACTACAGGGCAAATCTAGGGTGCTCTTGGGAGGACAACTGAAAATGACGTTCTCCAATGCAAAACCTAAAACTTGTGTTCCTGCAAGAGAGAGCGAGCGCAACTACTACAGGAATTCATTAACTGTCTCATTTCTGGTATGAAGTTATACAGGGTGATTCAGAATTCATCATCAATATTTGGTGGAGAGGTAGGGAATAGGAAAAGAAGGAGATTTCACATAGGAATGCATGGGCACATATGCCATGTGGTTGAGTAAAATGACCCCAGTTCAGTAATGGAACGAACACATTAAAACGAAGTAATAAGGAAAAAAATATTTATTATCTTACATGTAACATTTCTTTGCATCGGTTTTACAGACTTACAAGAGGTGCTCGAACTGCTGACCATGTGCTAGACTCACAACGGTGTTGCATGGGCAACCGGACCTTCTGGAATATGCCTGGCATTTAAATGCATATCTGCAAATTCATTCTACGCATACCGGTTCATGTTACTTCTGCAAAGTCAACTAGCCGAATGACTACTAGCTGCATACGTCAAACAGCTGTGCTTATGTGTGGAAGTTGTGTACACCCAGCGCCCTCTACACACCATGCGTTCGTCTGCTCCCATACTTTCCTACCTATGTCGATGAATATTATCCACCATTCCACCTGTACAATGATTGTCGTAAGGTATAAGTTACTTATTATATCAACCTATGTCCGCTCCAGGTGTCATTAAAATCTGTCTTTCTTTTCTGGAGATAGATGACCCAATATAAAAGGTCTCTTAATTTGAACAGCAGTGTATTTTATCTTTTGGATAATATAGTTAGTTTTATTGTGCTTGAATATAATGCAGGTGAATAACGGATTTTAATCTCTTGTGCAACTTAGTTTACCTTCTGTAGAGATGCAGATTCATGCGCTTCAATTCAATCAATTTTAATGAAAGATAAATAAAAGAATTCACTTTAAAGGTTAAAATCGCCTGTCTTAAAGTTTATCAAAAGACGGCAAAAGCTCTTTTCAAACTGTTATTTCACTTACGCTGTGCTCCGTCAGATGTAAGCTTTCTGTCTCGAAAGGTAGGTTTAAACATTTTAAGCCTATATAGAAGAATCTGCACAGCTAATTTTATTCTCTTAACTATTTCAGTTTTGAGCTGTTCTCTGCTGGCAGTAACAGAAGACAACTAACCACACTATTATATTACCAATGGTCTATGTTTCATACGAAAGCTTAACATTTTACTATATTGTATGTATAATGTAACTTCAATGAAACATTTCAAAACTAGCAGTGCTCTGTAGCTCAATCTTTCAAATGCAACGAATCAAAATAACATTTTTTATTCGATTTTGAAAGAACAGATTATTTAACAAAGTATTTATGAAATTTAATTTAGAAGTCAAACAACAAAAATCAGCGTTAAATTTTCAAATTTCACAGGACTAGTTTCGATGGTTTTACGGAACCATCATCCTCAGCTGCAAAACCGCAAATGAACGAGATAAGAAATAATGATAAGAAAGCCTGGACAGGAGATAAGCTACTGGTGGCATCTGTTGATGAAACCATAACTAAAATATAATTTCTTTAAAGGAAACCAGAAATAAAAGTAAAGAATAAACATAATTTCTTTTCTTTTAGTTCTGGTTTCATCAACAGATGGCGCCAGTAGCTTATCTCTTGTCCAGGTTTTCTTATCATTATATCGTATCTCGTTCATTTGCGCTTTTGCAGCTGAGAATGATCGAAACTACTCCTGTAAAATTTGAAAATATAACGCTGATTTTTGTTGTTTGACTTCTAAATTAATATTTGTTCGGCGTCTTATTGTATCTTTATTTATGAAGGATCAGATTAAAATTCGTACCCCATACACGGAGTTTCCCGAAAGATTTGACAATTGATCCAAGTCCAAGCTGGCAATAATAACCGCAGGAGTTGTTAAGAACAGCGCTACGAGTAATACTACGGTGTTTATCGTCATTGTCCTAATATCCCACAATCTCTCCGAATGTTTCATATTTTCCCTGAAATGAAATAATATTTTGATTAAATAAATGATAATGCTATCCAAGAAGATTATGCATTTTTTAGAAAATAGGAATTTAAGAAAACATTTTAAGAAGCCTTTAATACGGTTTAAAAGAACGTGAACAATGTGCAGTTTGGTTAATAATATTGTGCGATGCATAGTAAAACGCATGACCGTTCGTGATCGTTTTCTTTAAAATTATAATTTTATTAGAACGGCTAGCGCAAAATTAAATGCTGTAATGTTATGTTCCTAATTTTATTATTTTAGGTAAATAAAAATATATTAACATAGTTTAATTTTCTTTAAACAGACATTGGTAATGAGTTTTGTTTTACGCAAACTAAAAACAACATCTTTGTTTTAACTTATTTGAAATTTAAATTAATGAATTTTATTTTAGTTAAATAAGCCAAACTTGAATTGCTTTTTAAATTCTGTCAAAATATTTTATTCCATAGAATAAAAATTATATATTTTATTCCATAAAATTAAAAATTATATATTTTATTCCATAAAATTAAAAATACGAATATTTTGCCTTTTAAACTGCATTATCTTTATTCAAATAAAATACAATAAACACAAAAAGAAATTCTCTCATTTGCATTACATTAAGTAAGCAACTGGCTTACAAAAGAAAAGAAATAAGTTATCTGAATGATTCAAACATCGGGAAGAACTGTGGTTTCAGTTACTTAGAGTCTTATCGTAAACTGTTTGATATTATATTCAGAAATCAAAAGCCATTCTTGATACATCACATATTAATTATTCCAAATGTTTTATCTCATGCCTTAATAATGAAAGCTTGAAGTTTAAAATTATATTTAAAATTAATTTCACATTTATAATAGTCTAGCTAAACTAGAGATGTTTGGAAGCTAGAATACTGAAGAACTGTGTAGCGACTATTCGTTGAGTTCTTGTAGTGTAAGTGACAACACCAGAAGAGGGATAAATTACCCTTTTACTCAAAATGAATTAAAAGATAGCCCTTCTTGGGCGTACAATAAGCCTCTACTTGGGCTTTAACTTAAAATGGAAAATATGAAACTAAACTACTTTCACAAAATAAAAATTTAACCAATCGAAGCTACACAGAAGTAGCACCAATCGAAGCTACAAGAAGCACTTTAAATAAGGGCCAACTAGAGGAGTTGGCCCTTATTTAAAGCTCACCGGCATATACTAACAGGCACGTATTAGGTACGCTCGTAGAATATCAAGCTTAAACTAATAGCAAAAACGTGGCCGAAAGGCAGACCACGCTCTCTAACTGAGGTGACCCAGATTTCAGCTTAAATACTCGTTTCTACCTCATTTGCATCCTAATCTGGAAAACTCATTCTGACAGGGAAACATAGGTGTAGAATTAGAATGTATAGGAAAGGCTTGCTTCCTCCCCCCCCCCAAAAAAAAAATCTGAAATGTTTCAGATTTTAAATTACGTCCAAAGGGGCGTTTTTTAACATTTTGTGTGTTACTTTTCTTTATTAAATATCATGTTCCTCGCACTTAAACCAAGATCCAGTGCAACAGCAATATCGCAAAATAGTTTTTAAAACGAGCATATCTTAGAATTTCCGATACAGAGACTCACGCGCTGGAGATAAAATGTTTTTCTGCACAACGTTGCCATTGCCTTTTGAAATCCTTGAGGTGTTAATCAAAAATTCGTCAAAGTTTTAAAAAATAGGAAATCGATCATAAAACAAATTTCAAATTTCAAATTGGTCTTCCACAATGCTCATATTCGTTGGATTACGTTATTCAAAATCGATGACTTTATGTACGTTATTTTATGACAAGTGAGAAAATACATACATTACGCAGATTTTCATTATTAATTTCTTCAAATATAATGCAGGACTCTAACATTTTATGGCAACAGTTTGAAAAGTGAACCGACATTTATCCGTCCGACGCAAAATGCCAAAACGAAAGTAATAGTCCTTCGGGACTCAAGTCCCTTTGGACTAAAAAAAAAACTATTAGCCAGTTAACTGTGGCGCCCTCGTTTAAGAGCGGTTGCGGACACATAGCCGACGGGACACCTAACCGACACCAGTTAGCCGACAGGAACACTTAGCCGACATGGACAATTAGCCGACAGGTCATTTAGCTGACTCGGACTCTTAGCCGACAGGACGTTTAGCCGACCAGGACAGTTAGCCGATAGGACATTTAGCCGACACGGACACTTCGCCGACATGACATTAAACCGACAATGAGTCTCGCTCTTCCCAATGGTTTTAAATTTCTAATACTTTCACATTTCATTACTACTTTGCTCAACACTACATTCATTCCCGTATAAAATCGTTTCGCTCTTCCCACTAATGAAATTTCCTTTCCCTGTCAGGAAGTAGAGTGATTCGCCCTACTCCTTGCCACACTGGAACTATTTTTTTTTTTAATCTAAAATGCTATTTATACCCTCCAGAATGCTATTTACAGGTTAAGCATCGCATATGTATTAATCTGGGATAGGGCTTCGGCACGGGAATTCGTACCTTGTGGCCTGCGGCCACCTAACAGAAGTAGGTTTGGTTTATGTAATTACGGCAAAGTCAGAGGGCTATCTGCCTAACGGGAGGGAAACCTTCGTGGAGGACTTTCTAAGGAAAACTGGCTCGTATACATTTACACATGGGAGAGACCACGAATACACCCATGCAGCCTGTCTGTTCGCGGGATTCGAAATTCCCACCGAACTGCCAGTATTCAGTGACTTTACCGCTCGGCCGCTGCTGGGCCTAACAGAAATACAGTAACCGTTTTACTTGATATATAATCAGTCTCTTCCAATAGAAACTGCCTTTTCATCAGGCTAGAACTTTATAAATGCATTCAGGAAAATGGGCACCAAAAATTTCCCTAATACCACGTAGCTAAACCAAAAACGAGAAAGAGAGGGGGGAATGAAAGAGTAAAAAAAAAAAAAAAAAAAAAAAATGAAAATTAATGAAAAGTGAAATGAAAATTTATACATTTTTAACAGATATTGAGAAAGTTACATTTTATGAAAAAGACCTCAAACAATATAACATATTATATTGAAAATTACACATCGCTACTTTCAAAACAGAATACATTATAATATTATCTAGTTACATCTAGTTAACATCTAGTTAAAATCTGGCATCGATAGATGAGACATCTATCGATCGATAGATTCTAGCCAAGCAGGGCGGAGCAAAGCGAGACATCCTTTGGTGCCCCTCCTTCTGCAGATTCCTCCGATTTCTCTTCGGAGATTTTTAAACGTCCGGAATTTCATATCAGGAACGTTTTCAATATATGAATAGTGAAAAATGTAGTTTTTGCAGAAATGTATTCAGTTATGAATGAAATAAAACCTTAAAGAATATTTTACGTCTAAATTAAACATAATGCACCAGTTTAGTGCTATAAACATTAACCTAAGTAAGTATTTTCAGCGAGAGGCGTGGTCAATAAAATGTTACAGAATTTTTAGTTCAATTATGGTGGCATGAACAGCCCATTATAGAGGTCAATAATTTATACCTTTGCTTGTCTTAAAAATTTTTTCCAATAACAAAATAATATATATTTCGAAACTAACCCTTCACGACCATATGTTTCTATAAAAACTATAATTCAAGAATAACAATAATTTTTATTGCATTATTCAGATTTTCCATAACAGGGAAAGAAAATTTCATTAGTGGGAGGAGCGAAACGATTTTTTAAGAGAATGTAACATGATGTATTGAGTAAAATAGTAATCAAACGTAAAGGTATTAGAAATTTGAAAAAAATTTGAAAGAGCGAGATTGGAAAATTAATATTATTACGTAAACAAGAAAAATTATTAAAGATGTGAAAGTATTCAAAGTAACCCAGTTGATTAAATGAAGAAGCTTTACGGATAACTTTTGAAGATCCCAAATGTAATTAAGTGACCGCCGTACTTAGCTAAAAAAAAAATTCTTTTTTCCTTACGAAATTTAATTCATATTTCCTGATGAGAAATTTCAGCGCTTTTTCAATTTGGTCAATATACACCAAACACCACGATACATCAAACAATGCTAAATTTTTCCAATGATTAGAAGCACATATGCTATTTTTAAAAATCGAAAAATGAATTTTACTCATAGGTGAAAAATTAATTTAAATATTGAACTTATGGATAAGTCGAGAAATTTTGTAATTCATAGTAAGTTTAAATAATTATTGGGTACGTGTCAGCTAAACGTCATTGTCGGTTTAGTTAGGCAACAAAGTTCTTAACTTTTATGCCATTCAAATTCTTAAGATTTTGCTAAGGGAAGTTGATTAATTTATTTATTAGTATAATTAATATTTCCGTTAAGGGATATTGCTTATTTCATTGTAATTTTTTATATATAATACATTTTTATTGAAACTTCTGTTTTTTCTTTTTTTGATAAATTTCTTCTGCTGACTAAAATTCTGTGCAGTTTTTAAATTTAATGTTTGGTGTTTCCTTTAGGCATTTTTCTGGTACATTTAAAAGCCAGACGAAAGCTGGTCGCCTAGCGGCTAGTATATCATATTTTATTTCGCTAACATAAAGATAAACTTATTGAGAATCTTTTCAAATATTGCACACTTAATGTATGCACCTTTCAGAAAACGGCAGACATATTTATGTGGAAGACGAATTTGGATGTACTGCAAGCCTAGCTAATAACACAAGTTTATGGAAATAATTATGATTACCTTTTCATTTCTAAATCCCTACCGTACAAAGTGCAGTTGTCCGAATAACTACCATACAAACCGTTATTGAAACCATTTTCAAGACTAACTCAAAGAAATTTTGCTATGGAGAAACACTTTTTAAACAGTATTGCAATCAAAATTTGTCATAAAGGAAGATGCGACGTCATGACACGTTCAACGAAGACGATATGACACGTTCATGCGGTGGCCACCTAAATATTCGAATTTAATGTCACGTTATATTTTATGTAAGAAATTCTTCAAGACAATGTCTATGCGACTTAATTGTTTGCTTATGTTTGGGAACTTTGCAACTATATTACCGCTGTTGAGGCTGCGTTAGGCCTCTATATATAGTCACGCGAGTGGGATAAAACATATAATCGAGTAGATGCCCATTATATCGGCAAAAGGAAGCATTTGTGAAATTTGGAAAACCAAATGAAGTCAAACATTTTCCTGTAATAAAATTTGGTATCGATTGCGTTATTCATTTTTTATTAATTTTTAAAATCGAAACTTTCTTCGAAAGTTTTTACGATTTGAAAAATGAAGAAAAATGCATGGCGGCCAGTGATGGGAGAAATTTTTTTATTTGTGAAAATTACGTATTATTCTAAAGAAAACTGACATTCTTGTAACGAAACCATAATTTTTATTTCATAGAGTATTTAATTATGCATTTGATAATAACACTGATGATGTCATGTTTTTGCTAGATGGTACAACATGCTATAAATGAATAGTTTCACTGCAATGGATTCGCAATAACAACAATAATGTATTAGAAGCCGTCATAACGCTTTAATCTAGACCTAATAGAATATTTGGCTACTCTTTGGAATATGGTAACAGGTATTTTGGCGACATTTTGGTAATGCGATAAAGGTTACTAGCTAGGACTTTAGCATCTTGGAAGTACACGTTTCGATCACGATTTTTTGTTCAGAGAAATGAGAGCAAGATAACATGTCATGTGACATTTTCCGGAAATGCATCGGATTTTAGAAATAAGCACTTAGAACATTTCGCTGCTAAAGTGCAGAAGCCACTTATTGTTTTTGCGCTTTTTACAAGTTAGAAGATGGATTTTGTCAATTTTCTTTGACTTTTAAGTGAAAATTTCGATTGTACTGGATAAAGTCAAGAGGTGCGCAATCCATTTTGGCAATCTAGGATGTTTTTTAAGTGAAAATAGTCGGTGTACATGGATCCGAGAGTGCAATTCTTAACGCGGCACCAGTGGAGATCTCAACTTCTCCCATTCGACCTAATCTTCGTCTGATTAAGCACTTTTATTCCATACAGTTCGCATAAGCGAATCGGCTAGTAGATTGTTGGAAAAAATGTTGAGTAAAAAAAATAAATAAATAAAATTTAAAAAAATAATAATAAAAAAAAAATCATGCCTTTACTTCGTGAAAACAAAATGGCGTTCAAAACAAAAACCAGCAGGTTGCTGTAACAGGGTTGGTCGCCAAAGTTTCGCCAAAAAATTGCCAAGTTACCATAATCGGAAGATTCACCGAATATTTTTGGGATAATTTTAATCACACCTGAGTAAATTTCAGAAAAAATTTCAAAAGTTCTATGATATTTTTATTTTAGAAACTGGAAGGAAACTATACTTTTAGAAAAGTTATAGTACATGGAAAATTATTTTTTGGCCAAAAATTAGTAGTCAAACTTTTATTTAACAAAGTCGCAGAATCTCGCTAAAAACTTTGCTGAATGCAGGAATTCCCAGAATATAAATTACGATAAAGCACACTTTAAGACAAGAAATATTTTTAATTTTAAATGCAAAATAGTAGTAAAATGAAATATTAAATGCAAAATTATATATGTTAGTGTATCCACTTCATCTAAGTTACGCATGAAAATTGCATAAATTCATTTAGAAAAATATTCATTTACTTTAGTTTGTTTTATGGTCGGGAGCAATACTTCGTTTTAAGTCTCACCTCTTTGCTATTCACGGTCTTCTGCTATAGCGCGTCGTAACCCCCTCTGCTATAACGCGCTTTATGGCATATGGTTTTTGCAGCTATTCCAAGTCCTTTTTGATTTCACAGCCATTCGTTGCTCGCATGAAATTTACTTTGTCCTAAAGCTTTGACAGACTCCGTAGCGTTTTCCAGTAAAAGTAGGTGTGATTTCACTGTGAGCAGCCATTTTAACACTGTTTCATCAACGTCTTCATAAACGTACTTCTTACGTTTGGCATTTGGACCAGTGAATTTAAAGCTTCCCGAAATTTTATCTGGGTTTTGCAGGATTTTCGATAAACTATTTTGCAAAACACCAGATTTTATTGGAATGTTTTTGCTCTTTACACTTTTGTCCACTTCATCAAAAATCAAAATGTTAGACAGTTTCGTTTCGACATTTTTATTATTTAATACACAACTAACTTTGAAAAGGATTTGCAGTATAAAACCACCACGAAAATATAAATAAAAATATCGTACAGCTACTAGTCTGTGAAACGGGATTGGTTGGAGAATTTTTAACAATGTAGTATATAATGCTTCTTTATTGGAAAATCTTCTTCTCTCCACTTCATCCTTCATATAGAACTGAATGTGATAACAGATAACGATCCACATTCTTTTCTTTAAGACCACAGCTGCATACATGTCATTGCAAGTGAATAAATAAATTTAAAAGTGTCCCAGAGAAGAAATAAAGAGCTGGAAAAATAATCAATTTAGAAACTTTGTTAAATAAAGAGTGTAATTCATTATTTTGGAGGTTTTGTACAATAAAATTCACTTTTCATGCAGAATCTCGCAAAAGCTTCGCTAAATAGAATTATTCGTAAAATAGAATGTTCGCTAAATAGGACTTTGATTGTGTAAACCGGAAATATTTAAAAATTAGCTTCCCTTAAGTAATGCTGTCTTTTTTAAACAAACGCTAATATTGAAAAGTAAACTTATTTTATATACTAGATTGACATATCGAAAGTATTGCCACATCTTGAAACCTCAAAATTCTAGCTAATTCAGTAGGATGTGTTTTAAAAATAAGACACAATAATTCTAATTATTTTCAACCCTTTTCAGTATTATTAATGCAAAATCACACAAATTCCACTTGGAAATGGTTTGCCTTAATAAAGACATCCACGAAAGCTTGAGTCCACAAATGTTTCTTCCTTTTAGACAGATAACCTTAGTGTGCTCTCCAATCATAATGCTTCTAAACATTTCAAAATAATTGTATTATTGCAAGACGCTTAATACATTTGATTAATATACAATACTTCTGATATTCTTTTGATTACTATATAATACTACTCATATAATACTTAAACTTTACTATTATTAAAAGGGAACGGATTAATGCTGTGGAGAAAGAACTGAATGTTATGTTTCACGACCACTGCTAGATATGATTCTTACCATAAAATGTTATTAGGATTGGGCGCTGGATGAATAAGGCATGGTCGCATAGGATCGGTAGGTTCCAGTCTCTTCTGCCGCTCTTTTGCTCTAGATATGTATAAACAAAAATACAGATGCATACAAAACAGATCAAATTTTAAATGACATATCTTGAAATAAAACTATGTAAAATTTAAGCGGCCTTGTTTGATATTTTGTTGCATAATATAGTAGAACATAGCAAAAGGAATTTTTCTTGTTCCTGACAATTGATTTTTTTTAAGTTGGAGATTATCAAGAATAAAAACTTATTAAAAACAATAGGATAGTAATTAGCATCACTGACACAATAACACGCCGAATAAATACTAATTCAGAAAGTCAAACAACAAAAATCAGCGTTATATTTTCACAATTTTCACTGGACTAGTTTCGATGGTTATACCGAACCACCATCCTCAGCTGCAAAACCGCAAATGAACAAGATAGGAAATAATGATTAGATAAGATAAGAAAGCCTGGACAAGAATAAGCAAGTGGCGCCATCTGTTGGAAACCAGAACTAAAACATAATTTCTTCAAAGCCCGAAGGCAACGATGGATTTTAATTAGGATCGTTAACTAGAACAGAAAGATTTGACTTCTGAATTAGTATTACTGGTGTTAAAATTTTCCTATGCCTTAAAACTAGCAATAAATACTTCGTGCCAATTGATGGTTGCAATAAGTGAATACTAAAAACGTACTTCACAAAAGCAGACCTTTTTCTTTTCACGATGATCTATAATTGTTTTATTAAATAAGTCTTTTTAAATAGCTAACTCATTGTGAAAAGTATCCTCTTTAACGTAGCGCTAATAACTTACCTCTGTTGCAGCAATCTTCTATGTTATATGATTCAGTAGTCAACATTAATGCACATTGTAGTATGTACCAATTTTATTTTCATGGGCAAATTAGCTGATATATTAGGCCCATTACTGCATAAGAGATATTAGCTATTACCAGTTAAAAATTCCATGTAACTTTGCGAAACTTGCGTCTTCTTGTGGCGCCTAGGTTGGTGGAATTGTGATTTTTATTGATTTGTTTTAGTTAGACCAAAAGCATTTGATGAGGCGATTGACGATCTTTTATCATCGAAGGCTACAAAATTTTGGAAATGAAATTTTTTGCCATAATTTACAACACAGAATTTAATTAGCTTTATTCATACTTTTCTTAAATTTCGCTTATTCACAAAATTTAATAAGCTTTATTCACATATTTCCACCTATTCTTGTTATCATGGGCATGAAATTCGAAAGCATGAATTATATATCTAGGAAAACTTAGTCTACACCACATTATGAGATTTATTTCGTAACTTTAAAAATAAAACCTCTTAAAGGAACTTCTTAAAGAAAGAAAAACAACTTACTCGGGAATTTTTTACACGGTTCTATTGCAAAACCGGTTATTACTAAGGAAATGCACATTGACAATGATAACATTTCAAATATAAGCATTGAAATATTCTGTGCAAATTTTCGAGTTTTGAAATTTTCCTGAAACGAAACTTTTATACAATCCATTTGTGAAACGTTTTTTAAATTAGAGTAATACTTCGATTCTGTAATGTTTTATCTAACACAAAAGAGGTAGAGTTATTTTCATCTCAGTTACAGTCGCTGCTTCATATTGTTACGAAATGTCAAGGCGTGGTGAGATGGCTTCCCCACAAAGCAGTTTTAGGGTTGCCATAAAATGTCAAGGTAAGGCAGGTTTGCCACATTTGGTGAGAAATCGCCCATTTGGCGTCAAAATTGGCGATATGCCATGGACTGATGGAGCACCTTCTGGAACGAATTTTTACCGGTTTAGCCCAGAATGTTCTCCAACACAAACCAAAAGCTATATAAACCCTGCTGGTCCGCAGCCAGTTTGTATCGAGAGTGTGTGCTTCATCGAGAGGGCGAGTGTGTGTGCCTCGTCTAGAGTGCGAGTTAGTTAGTATCGAGTCGGTATCTCGTCTAGCGAATCAATCCCTGGAGTCGATCGAGTTGACAGCCGGGCAGCGAGTGCCGAGTGGGTCGTCGAGTGCACCGAAAGAGTGTATCGTCGAGAGAGCATGTTGATCTCCGGGAACAACTGAACCAAAGAGTCGGGAGCTGTGCTCGTGTGTCGTCGAGTGCATCGCGAGTTGTAGCGTGGAGAGTCTCGAGAGTCGCTGATTGTTCCAGCGAGTGTTTATAGTAGATCTACGATGACTGTAAACGTGACTTTGGAGCTGTCCTGATCAGTATTGGCTAAATAAAGTGTGTTTCGATACTTCATCAAGTGTCGTCGTTACTCACTCCAAATCTACAAACCCCGTACGAACGTGAGGGAAGAAAATAACGCAACAACTGGTGTCAGAAGAAACGGAAAAACGTAACAATATGAAGTCTATTGCTTTATAAACAATTGATTCCTATGCTGTTTATTGTTTAGGAATTTCTTTAGATTTGTTTAATAATCAGAAGAAGCAAATAATTTAGATGTCTTTTAACATCTGTGTCTTTTACCGAAGAGTGAATATTAGTACAAGTATTCTGATAATAGCCTAGTAATATATTTTTAAGTCACTTATGTTTATGTAATAAAATTTTAGTTAAGAAATTTTTTCAGTGTCCAGCAATACATTATTTTATGACTGCTTAAGTTACCATTTTAAATTTTTATAATATTTGTTTAAGTTTGTTATTATTTATTTAATTAAGAATTCATTTTTAACTAGAAATTCATTAACAATTAATTTAGAATTTAATATTTACATTAATTTAGTCATAAATTAATTGTTAATGATTATATAAGATATTTATTAGTATTATTTAAATTTGTTTTTAATTAATACCTAAATAATAACTGAATTAAATATCAAAAACATACATGGTGAAATTGTTTGGTAAAATGCAAATAACGAAAAGCAAGAAAGAGGTTGAGCTGTATAAAATAAGATTGTAAAATTGAGAGTGTTTGCAGATGTAAAGCATAATGACAAAATTTTGATGTTTAATTACAGAAATGAAAATTTAAACGCTTAAAAATGAGGAAAAATAAATCGTAAAAAAAATTATTTTAAAATTTTAAAGGTTTTTTTTTTTTTAGTTTGTAAGTTAGAAAAAATTTGAAAGTTTTTCAATTATTTATATAAACAAAATAAAATTATTTAAATTTAAATAAGTATATCAAATGTGTGTAAAAAGATTTTAAGTGTTGTGAAAATTAATAAATTTATTCGTGTGTAAAAAAGGAATTCTAATTAATAATATATATATATACATAATGGGAAATAAAAAAATTCTGAAAAGAAAAAAAGTGAGTAATAGTAAAAGCTTCACCAATTTTGTGTATAGTACGACTGGAATACAAATGACCATTTGTTAGTAACAGAAATAGAGGGATTATATATGTGAATTTAAATTGTCCTCACATATTTCCACTATTATGTGTTAAATTCTTGTCTATAGGGAGAGTTCTGTTTAAACCTGTCACTTTTCAAAATGAAGAGTCTAAATTTTATCAAGCTGAGGAAACTTATAATAACCTACTTTCCAGTTAAATGCTCCTGGCTGAAAGAGACAAATGCCATGGGTAGAATTTTCTTAGGCAATGCATTCAATTCCTTTGCAATAGACTTTCTGTACAAGTTCATTTGGGCTGTGTAATATTGAATACCGTTAACCTGTAAAGCGAATGAACACAACAAAATTTTAAACCTACATAAATACTGCGTTTAATATGCATATTATTAACAATGTTTTTAATGAAAACTTACATTCTCAGAAACATTTATGGTAAGCTATCACTATATCTTTGTTTCCTGAAATACCGGTGGCGATCCAACAATAAACCGTAAAATAATTAGGTAATTTTTTTTTTTTTTTTTTTTTTTTTTTTTTTTTTTATGATCGCGAAATGACCCTTTCCGAGCATGCGAAATGGCCATTTTTTAGAGCGAAGTGATCTTTTAGCTATTGTTTATTCACATATATATCCATTTGTAATTAATTAATTTATAATTATAAATTAATTCATTATTAGCCCGAAGGGTGTTAGCCCTGAAACTAACTATTAACTTGTTTTGGTATTTTGCGTCGCTTCACTATAAATGTCGGTTCACTTTTCAAATTGTTGCCACTAAATATCAGAGCCTCGCATTATATTTAAAGAAATTAAATAATAAAGAATCTGCATGAAAGCATGTATATTTCTCGCACTGCGAAAACACAACAGTACCTAGGGACGTCAAATTTTCAATAAGTTGTCCTCGACTAGAATATGGCGATCTGGAAACCCGAACATGGAATTTGTTTCATTATGTATTTCATGTTTTGTAAAACTTTAGCAAATGTTTGATTAAGAAACTCAACGATTTCAAAGCAAGCAATGGCAAAACTGTACGAAAAAAAGAGCATTTTTATCTCCAAGGCGCGAGACTGTGTATCGGAAATTCTACAGATATGCTCTTTTTAAATTTATTTTACGATATTGCTGTTGAATTGAATTTTATGGTTTAAATGCGAAGAACGTGATATTTCATAAATAAAGTTAACGCACAAAACTTTAAAAAAAATAAATAAATAAAACCCTTTTGGCGTAATATAAAATCTGAAAACTTTCAGATTTTTTTTCTTTCATTATTATGTTATTCTTTTCTAGAAATTTCCGTCACATCCGTCTTTTTATTTTGTGGGTCATAGTAACTCGTATCCACGTGTATGGGAATCTTAATGTTTAAAATGTTTAAACGTCTAGGAAACACTGCTATAGATTATCCGGAAGTTATCATAGTATACATTAATCATGACGTATACATTAAACATATAGCCAAATACATTAATCATGACGAGAACATAAAGGTCGTTTTTCTCAGAAAAAATTGTTCTCTTGGTTTAAAAAATCGGTAGAATTCAGCTTTTAATTTGGTGTTGATTTCGAGCTAAGGCGTCGTATGTATTTAGAGAAATGAAAAAGTGATCTCATATCACGTGAACAACTTTCTTTCGCCATTCTTTCAAACGAGAAAGCTCAGTGCATTTTGAAAGCTGATTTGATGTGGTGCCTTTATAGCCACAGAATCTTTTTATATAAAATTAATTCCATATTACGACTGAAAATTTTCCCATTTTCTTTAATTTCGCGTGATGTGTCTTGAAAACTTTTTGTGATTTAACATCTAAAAGAGAGACCAGTAACAGCCAGAAACGGAGATTCTTTATCAACTGAAACCCAAATTCCTGAGATCTATATTATACTCACATTTGCATTTAACTCTTTCGCATCGAAGTCGCCCCAAACGCCCAAACATTCAGACATCGGCTGGACGCCCGAAACGCCTGAATAATTTCCTACTCAGTGCTTTCCCCCATCACGTTACTGCATTACTCATTGCTTTCAGGTGTTGTTAAATCACATGTCAATCATTCTTTTGAAGCTACTTTTAGTAGCTTCCTTGTTTCCTTTGTTCTTTCCTTTCCTTTGTTTACTGTCAGTGTTTAGCTTTTGATGTCCGAAGTTGCAATCCCGTCCCAAGGGGGAACTTCATACAGTGTCAAAGCGTCTAAAAAAGAAGTTCTCGCTTTACTTAAGTAAGGCTATTGTTAGCGCTGTAGTATTCAACTTGTCATGGGGGAAAGAAAAGCATTCCAGGAGAAATTCTTAGATACAGGCGTTTTCAATGTTTGGGGAATTGAGATTTTGCCCTCTCTCGATGCGAAAGAGTTAACGTGCCTCCTGACAAGGCATTTAAATCATTGTCTACATGGAAGAATTTGGCCAGAAAGACTGTGCCGTTTCTTTTGAAGGAGGTGGGGCTCACTTATATCATTACATTTCTGAATGGCCCCACAAGCAGCAATGCTCGCAATAACTTTAATCCATACATTTCAGAATACTATATTTACTTTGATGGGCTCTTATGACATCATATTTACTGCTACATTCTTATAATCAAAGAACTCTGTTTTATAAGTATGCATATTTTTGCCTTTTTGTGTACTTTAACTATTTCATTTTCCCTTTTTTTTTCTTCTTGAATAGTTTTTCCAGTTATCTTCTTATAAAATGAACATTACTGAGCTATTTTACTAATTCTTCAGAAAATTATTAACAAACTGCAATTTTTACCTCTAACATACTATATTGACTGTGCTGAAAACACTGGATAACTAGTATCTATCAATGTTATTTACAGTAATTATAACTGTGTAAGAGTTAAAACAAATGCCTGAAAATGCAAATTCTGTATTTTTCTCAAACTGATTACCTGTTCACAGTTACAGTGAATTTTGAAGTAATAAAGACAACACCAACACTGCCTTTTCACCATAACTTCTCGGAACTCTGTATTTCTGATCTGATTGCAAACCTCTAAAACTTCTTCTAAATGGCTCCTGGTTAAAGTATAAATTATGGAATGAGTAAAAGACAAAAATGAAAACACAACTATTATTATGCAAAGTTTTATAGCGAAAACAAAATAAAAAATGGAAGCAAAAAGCATTATTTCTTCATTAAAACAGAAAAGAAAGAAACACGTGCAATTACTAATATGAAACATAATATACGTATAATAACTCAACACTATTAGCAAAAACTAATCATTTACCACTCTGCAGTTCTTCTAAAAAAGAAAGCGTAATCAAATTATTTGCTTAAAAATATTTTTCCTTTACGAAAAATATTTTTTTTTTTTTTTACTTCTACAAGCTTTAGACAGAGGAGATTGTACAGATAAAACTAATTAACACAAAGGTTTTTGTCCTAAATACTGTTCATAATGACTTACTGAATGAAGTGGTTTTTACTTCCTTGTACGAAGTAAAAAGGAAGTATTGTAATCGCGAAAAGCTTCAGGCAGCATATTTCAACGAAAATATCCGCTTTGATCGCTTTCGAATGCAAGTTAACGATATTTTTGCGTGATATCTGTACGTAAGGACAGAATAAAAGACTATTTTCCTCCAAAAAAACTAAAAAACTGCTTTAAAATGAATTCTGAAGAGAATTTTTCGTGGCGTCCGTACGAACGTAAGTACGTACGTATCTCGCATAACTCAAAAACGAGTAGCCTCAGAACGTTGGAATTTTGTATATAGGACTACTATAACATGTAGATGTGCACCTCGTATTTTGGTTTCAATCGGCTTCGCCAAACGTATATAAATATATTTATAAAATAATCCACTCTGTTACCCGGCTCAGTGATCTCAGTTTCTTTATTCTTATATGTTTGTAAATTGTACTTTTTTTTTTCTTTAAAAATGATTGAATTATGTTTTTTTTTATCTTCCGGTTAAGGTTTTTATGCCTTTAGTAAATCTGTATGCAATATTTTTAAAATTATCAACAAGTTGTTTAAGTGCCGCTAAGCCTATTTTGATGGCGGCCATTGCTTGTTTAGATTTGAAACAGCTGGGTAGTGAAGTTGTTGCCAATCTAGAGAAATGTAGATTTGCAACAACAAAGATAAACGCCTTCATTTATTATTGCGATTTAAATCATGCTTAATTCTTTCTGGAATTTTTTCGAGGAAATAAGTGTTTAAGATTTACTTAATTTTTAATAATTAGTAATTTTTAGTGAAATATTCAATCGTCTGTGAAAAACTGTTCCTTTTTTGTTTTGTTTGCTTAATTTCTTTTATACATCGTTCTAGCTTTATTATAGTACTTGAATAGAACATACGGCAACGATTAGATAATTCTTTAAATGATACAAATTTTGTGCATTCTGAGTTATAATATGAACGAAATATAATACTGTTAAGTGAACCTAGCGTCAGTGTCGCTATGGTAAAAAAATACAGTGAATTTTAAAGAATGCACTTATTCTATTGTGGTTTATGCGCTGTCGGCGAAGTAGATATAATTAAATCCAATAAGTTTAAACAAAATGCAAGAAAAAATGCGTATAATTTAATATTCCGTACAAGGAAGTCATGTGGCGTGCACATCAAATTTTTTATTACCTATTTTAGAAATAATACGCTAAATCAAAAGTTTTGCAACACAGCGTGTTCAACGGTAGCTGAATCACATGTTTCACCTTTTCAGTCTGTGGAAAGCATTTAGAGTTAGGGTAATGCAATGATTGTTTGCCTGCTGAAAATAGTTATTAATTTCGTCATTCTGTCTGTGGCTTAAACACCTAAAACTAAACAGCCAACATCGGTTAATTAGAAAACTTTCCTTAGACGTTTGTAAATTGGTTCATGAAATAATTTCAGAAACTACAAGAAACATTGCTCCTGAAAAAGGGAAACATTCTTCGTAACACAATAACACAAACAATTAGTTCAGAAAAATTCACTTATATAACAGGTACTTTGACGAAGAGCGGAGGTCTGGTAGGTCATGAATCATGTATTCGCACATTCGCACCGCGTACATCAAGCCTTTAGTAGCAAATTTAACAATTATAATCAGAAATTAATTATCAAGTGATCTAAGTATAATACAGAGTACCGTGTTACATTATCTACATAACTTCTAGAATGTCGATGCGAGCTCTTGCAGTGTACCCGATTAAATAAAGTCGGATTACTCAAAAGACTATCTATAAGTTTTTACGAAACTCCCAGAAATACTACGTTTGTTGACGCGCTCATCAGGACAGAAACCACGTTTCATCGAAACAATTGTTACAAGAAAAACGAAACTGTGTTTCATCAAGAAAGGTGAAGTGAAATGTTACATATAAGTTATTTCAGCATTTCAATAACCATAGCCCACAAAAGCAGTGATTTTACTTCCTGAACCTATGGCTAAATGTGGGTGCTTCGACTACAAGGGTATGCTGTTTTACCTATTGGTATTTGGAGAAAGACGTCCACGAATTCATTTCAATAACCATAGCCCACAAAAGCAGTGATTTTACTTCCTGAACCTATGGCTAAATGTGGGTGCTTCGACTACAAGGGTATGCTGTTTTACCTAATGGTATTTGGAGAAAGAAGTCCACGAATTCATTTCAAACAATCGTACGGTCAATGCCAACCTCTACTATCAACAAAGTTGGTAGGTTTGAAGCAGAAGATACAACACTCATAAACAGTGGCTCGCGCTCTCCGACGCCAATGGGGCTAAGTATCATACTACCCATACATTCCCCCTTTTTTTCAGATACTTGAAAGAATCGAGCTGATGTTACATCCAATGCCTAGGACAAATGTTGTACTTTCGATTATTACCTATTCTATTCCATGACCTACTTCCTTCACGGCTGATATTTCAATAACTTGGAGGAAACAGAAGCTGAGGTAAAATAGCTCGTCGCCTTCAAATTCCAGAACTGTGGTATCGAAGATTTTCCAGAATAATGCTTGATTACACAGATGGCACAATGATTTTTTACGATGGCCCAGCTTAAATCTTTGGATACCAGTCAGCTTTAGTTGTAAATTTATGCAATGAAAAATGAAAAGAAATAAATTTCTAATCGAACTCCTTTCTCTCTCCTTCCGGCTTGCCTTCGTTGTGTAATGGTTGACACACTCCGCGCGTATTCGAGAGGTCCAGGCTCCAGTTCCGGCAAGGGCATTGCTCATTCTTCCCGTCTCCAGCATCTAAATAACCTAATGACTCTACCGCTTAATTAATATTTTGTCAATCTGAGTTTTTAAGTTCGAATTAGAGACATTCATGTGTATATTTATTTTATTGAAGCTTGTTTTACTTAACTGACTAACATTTAATGTTACATTACATTAACTAACTAACATAACTAACTAGCGCTAACATTAGTGAAATTCAAACTTTATGACTGACAGGTTAATTGTAAAGTATAACTTCTAAATCTTCTGAAAGACTGGGGAATCTTTATCCGAGAAGCAGTGAAAGCATCTAAAGTAAAGCAGTCATCAAAAGCTCGCTAAATGATAAAGTGAAAATTGCCTCTGAGGATCAGCATCATTGTATGCCAATTTTTAAGACTTACTTCTAGAGTAACAGCATCTAATTTTAATAATATTCTTACAAAATCTATAATTTTTAAATTAGTTAACATTCTAGATTGGAAGACCTTCCTTGACAAATACTTCTTAAATTGAATGATTCAAAGTTATTAAAATACACTGCTGGTCATTAAACGTGCAGCACTACGAAAGACAAAACCGTCAGAGTATATTTTGTACACATGTAACTTATAATCGAAAGTGAAAATATTACAATTCCAGATTTTTTTCAACTATCAGGAGGTTGAAAAAAATCTCATTTCATTTAGCTCCATGGGCAGTAAGTACTACTGCTACACGGCCTAAAATAAAGAGGAAAAGGTACTGGATGTGCTTGCAGTATGTCATCCTTAATTGTTTTAAGGTACTGCCAAAGTTCAAATACTGCAGTCTTTGCTGTGCCTTTTATTTTATCATTAATTGTGCGTCAGACGTGTTCAACAGGCGGCAGAGCCTGTGCATACGTTGTCCTCGAAAGAAGGGGAATATAAATGCCATTTAAGAACTATTGACGATGAGTCCCATATGTAGGCTGACGTATTATCCTATTTGCTGTTATCACAGACACATCCTGAAAATAAGGGACAGTTTTTTACACCTCAGAACTTAAGCATTGACTTTCCATGTACCGAAATTGCGCGCTAAGCATGAGTAAGACTAAAATTTAATGGCACCCTGTACTGTAACGCCAAATGCTGGATCAATATGAAGGTGCAGTACTTACTAAATCTATCGCCGTAATACATCGTACGATCCAGGCACTATCATAATGATGCTGCATACAGAAACTGAATTCGCCTGAAAGACGATGTTATGTCATTCTGTCTTCCATTTGTGAGGTTTTGCACACATTTCCAGCCGCAGTACCTGTCCGACATAGTCAGAAGTAGCAAAATAAATGAACGCCTTACTAAAATTTAATGATGCTGCAGAAACATGCGAAGACAGATTGCTTGCACCACAACTTAGTTCTTGAACTGCAGTTTGAGATTTGAGTAAACGATCTGCAGCAGGCGTATACACGCACAAGAAAGCTGTCTGTTATTTGGAAGTTTGACAATAACGTTGAGATCCTAAGAACAGTAAGCTCACTCCCCCTCGATCCATCTATTCCATACTCACGTCGCTATGCCCACATTCGGGCTAACATGAGCGCCAGTATTTTTTAAAACATAATACATAATATTGAAATGCCGTCTTTATTCCGTAATCAAAATTGGAAACCTGATGCTATGATTGCCATATTCTTCAGTAAGACATAATATAATTTAGGCAAAAACAATTGGAACTGAAGTAACGTAAATAAAAGTGCAATACTATATTTTCGGTGGACTGTTAGAACTTTCTTCACTTCGACGTGTCAGAAATGAGATGAAAAAAAAAAACGTATACTTCACAGTAAAACATAAAAGACGGTTCGAGATTATTCTGACGGAATATTAAAAATTAAAACCTCTAACCACATCTACTGAAGAGGAAGAAATTAACAATCAAGTTCTTGAAGGGAAACGGTAAAGAGGAATTAGAGTTTCCATCATTTATCAAAACAAAAAAGATTTTAAGGGCACGAAAATATTCAGTTCATTTGCTGTTTTCTTTTACAACATAACGTAAGGTATTTTTGAAAAAAAACCGACGATCAAATATTTACAATATCAATACTTGATTGTGTTTCTTTTTTCTTCTCTTATACAATTTCCAAGGGACATTACTGGTTATCTGCGTATGCGCTACCTTGTTAATTATTTGCGTATTTTCCCATGATCTGCAAAAGAGTATCGAAACGACTGGATGCCTTCTTCCCGTTGCCGCGATTTTAACTATGAATAGTGAATAACTGTGCGTAGTGTATAAGAATTTTATTGTGCATAAGAATGCAGTTAAAATAAAATATCATACTTACAATTTTCTATTCAAGGTAATTATTGGTCGGTACTGGTAAAAAAGTTTTACGTCTTCAACTGCGTCCTTTTGTAGAGATTTGCTGCCAAATTAAATGACATAATAAAGTTAATGAAAAAGAATTATGCCAACATATGCTTTAAAATTAATTACCTTTGAATTATACGTGTTAATATATTCTCTAAAGCAGTAATCTCAAACTAGCGGTCTGCGAATACATTTTCTATAAGTTAGTAAGTATTATTATGATATTAATCCTTGTGGTAGGAATCTAAAGAAATGCTTAAGGTTTTAAAGCCAGTTTTGCATTATTTCCACTGCTATTAAAATTAAACGTTGGTAATGCCCTAAAAAAGCTATAATTGAAGTAATCACTGTTATGTAAATCTTATTCAAAGATTTGAAGATACAGATTTTATTAAAATCTTTTTTGCACTTGTCAAAATATAAATACCCTCAATCACGGGCTTTTTCAATAAGAAATAATTGCTTTGTTTTTAAGTACATAAGCATGTGAACAGTTTTATTTCTTCGAAGTTGAAAATTAATAAATCTATGAAAAGAGCCATACTGGCCGATGAGCATCTATGTTCCTGATGCTCCTGATGAAGATAGTTTCTGATAATTTTTCTCCAAAGTTACAAACTTTAGCAAACTCTAAACGACATTAGGAGTTATAGCTGAGATTTGTAGTAAAAAATAAAGAAGGTTTTAATAATTTGCACACAAATTTATGTACTTTTTCTATATGCATCAAATGAAAATTTAATAAGTGAAAGAAATATAATGTAGGTAGTCATTATTTATTCTTAAATTTAAACCCTTTTGAAAAATATTCGTAATTTGTTTATTCTTAATTATTTAATGGTTAATTTAGCATATTAAAATTATTTTAAATAAATTTCAGTCTGAAAATTTAATATTTAAGTACCAATACATTTGAATTCCAAAGCGTAACCAATAGAGATTTAAAAATATCAACATTAATATTTCTGACAGGAAATAAATATAAATTTAAATCATTTCCATTGTTTCATTATTGTTATTACTTAATAAATATTTAGTAATTGAAATTTAAGTGTTAGATAAAAAAAATTGTTTCGATCTAGAAAAAAAATTAGGCCCATGAGCTGTTTTCTAGATCGTGTTGGCCCGCATGGAATTTGAGTTTGAGACCACTGTTCTAAGGGATAGAATAAAATTATAATCTATTCTATTAAAAAGAAATTATTTGAGGATGTTAATTCTGATGATTTAAAATATTAGTCTATCTTAAATAAGGTTTAGCCAGTTATGTCTGCAGAATCTTGAAGCAGATGCTGCATAAATACTGTGCTTTTTATTAGTGGCATAAAGAAAACTTTCAAATGCTGAAGTTGCCAGTTAATTTTATTTTCTTATTGTTTTATAAACGTTTCAGTCCTAGTACTACAACCACTTTTAGATTTAAAATTCTTAAACGACTTAAGAATACATTTTTCAAAATAATGGCAACATGAAAGTTTTACTCCAAAATACTTCTTTTTTTAAGCTCTCATAATAAAGAATACTGTATTTTTCAAACTTAACACAATGGTTTTCCACTTAAAATGTCCTTCTGAAAGCCATATCCGTCTGTAAAGACACTTAAAATCTTGGGAATGTTTTGGGATACTAATGAAGACAGTCTGAGTATAGACACAGACAGTTTGATGGAATTTCTTAAGAATAAGCTAATACAAAACACCATCTTTTATGTACAGTCTAATGAATGGTATGAATAAGTTCTTGATATGTCAGAAAGTCTTTCTGAAGAAGTCTTCAGATTGCAGTGTTAATGTATTGGAGATGTTCTGTTTGTAGCTCTCTCTTTAATATTTTCACGGCGAAGCCCACACGTTCATCTACACTGCTCAAAACAAATCAAAACATCAGTCACTATTTTGAAAAAAAATGTAGATGATGCAATCATTTTTTTTTTTTTTTTTAGAAAAATTGCAATGCATATATTTCTATAATTCTATAATTCTACAAATTTATGCCTTAAAATTTTGGCTTATAAACTATTTTATTCAGTTTATAAGGTTATACGTGGCCTGTTGTTGGAACTTTAGCCCTATAACCCTAATAAATAAGTAGTGACTTATCTCTGTGTCTAAAATAGTACGACAGTGACTTAAGAAGGTTTTAAACAATTTTTTATTAAACTAAACTTTTAAAACACCAGGGTATGCTCGTGCTACACATAGCCACTACTTATGGCAATGCAAATTAAAATAAGAATAGGTAAATCAATTTAAACGTTGATCAGTAATCTACGACTAAACAGTTGAATACTAAGCGACAAGCTGGCTGAAATAATCTACGGGTGAGTAGATTAGAATATCGGCAATTAGAGAATACATTGCCCAGATAACTGCATTTAGCTAGAGCTGGCAGAAATTTAACCACTCATCGCGAATGCTCGAAGCTCGCTCTTTCTCTCTAGATCCAAAAACTTCAGCTCAAATACAGTATAAACTAATTTTGTATTTTAGTGAGAAATATGGAAAGAAGAAATTTAGTAAAGATCAAAATCAGTCTAAAATAAGAAACTTACAAGTTTAAGAGGAAACATTGTTTTTCAAGCAATTGTTGAACTTTCAAATGTTTCAGTATCCAGAAGTTAAAAAATTAAAATCATTCTTTAAGATTGTATGCTATATTAATAGGGTCTGTGGCCTTTCCGAATTGGTAAAGCAGTTAATCATTTGCTTGGAATAGAATTTATAAAGTGATGCAGAACACTCTGATGAAATTGTTTCCACCGCTCTACGAGGGCAATCTATAGTTGTTGAAGAAACAAAGAAAGCCTTGGCCAATCAGAAACGCGTTGTCCTAGAGCATCCCGTGCATATTCTGTCGGATTCAGATCGAGTCAGAAAGCCGGCCGCTGCCATAGGCTTGGTTTCCTGCTCCAAAACCTAGTCTTAATCAAGAATATCTGTGACTTCTTGTGTTGTTGGTCATTAAACAAAGCACGTTGCCAATACCTTCAGCACGCGGCAAAGATCAAAGGCCCAAGGATTTTTATCTTCTACTCATCAAACTGTTATTTTGGATGGCGTATGAATCCGCTTATCTATAACGAAATCAGCAATCCTCGGCTTCGATTTTGTGACCTTTCTTTCCCCCCAAATTGGGATTAGTTCTTGTGTTACTTCCTTTCATAAAGATTTTAGAGGGAAACGGTCATCTGTCTCCATCCAAAATCTTGATTAGTGTATGAAAAAAACCTCGACATTGTACAGGCCCAACTGCAATGTTCTTTCGTTCAATTTCTACGGTGAAGAGCATACGAACTACAGGTCCAAAAGGGTATAAATCATTCTGATGAAGGCGATTCAAGAAACAAAAAAAGAACCCGACACTGTACAGACCCAACAGGCAATATTTTTCCGCTCAATTTCTACGGCGAAGAGAATACGAACTACAGGTCCACATGGATATAAATCATTCTGATGAAGGAGATTTCAAGTATTTTTAGGCTAACATGTTTCGTCCTACAGCTCAGAAAATCTTTTGCAGGTAACTGACATTTCTTATTATAATTCCAAAGATAGAATATTATCGTTCGTTTCTGTTATTGCGCCCAAATGATGTTAACTATGTTTTCTACTAACAGCCCTAGAAATTTGGCATCGATTCCAAACTTGACAAATCACACTTTGCAACACACCATTAAAATTCACTGCTTGTGCCTTTGTGATCCATCAGTTTTCAGGTGAGCAACTATCGCCAAGCCATTCACTCTCTTAAAGTCATAACGTTGAGACATTGATTGAAGTCTCTATGTAAAACGAACGCTATAAAAGTTAATATTAAGCAAGGCAAACAGCATAATATGAGATTCACAATCAAGTGTCGTATTTTTGAATTCTGACAATTACATATTTTATCTAATTTGTTTTGCTTCAGAAATCTCCTTTTTTATATCTTTGGAGCACTAGATTCCTTCTGAAGCAATTTTAATTAGATTTTATGTTTTAGTTGAGAATAATATTGCTGAGGCATAGTCGTCCTTTGATTTTCTTGAATTGTGTGTAATAATATATAACGTTTTACGTTTTTGGCAGCAGAAACTAAGTCCAAACTCCTAACATACTTGGAGCGAATTATCGCTTCGTCTGACAGAGCTGCAAAGTCTTGCGATGGTTTAACAAACCGGTTTATTAAATCAGAACTGTAACATAAATGCAAGGCAATTTAAACTTAGTAGCCAAAGGTTATACAAATGATGAAACGCGAAGTTGGCTCAAAACTTTCTACCGGCGTAACAGTTAAAATATCGGCAACTATAGACCAAGCTATACACTGACTACCAATAAGTATTTGGACACCTATGCAAATGACGATATCTGCGGTCCTAAGGTACGTCACAGATTCCGCCGGTATATATTGTGTAGGAAACAGCATCGGCTTTTGTCGCATGCAAGATGCCTCGCAGTTTGCAGCTCTCTGATTTCGAGAAAGGTATAATTATCGGGTATCCCAAATGTGGCCGATGCATAAGAGACATATCTAGCGATCTGAAGTACCCAAAATCGACAGTGGCCTATGTGATAAAGTGGAAGGTGAGCGGTGACTGTCGGAATGTGCCCCGAGTCGTCAGACCAACGAAACTGTGATATAGAGACCGACGATAGCTGTCGAGAGAAATTCGGAAGAACCACACCGAACCGATGGCCCTCATCCGCGAGGAGTTTCAACAGGCACCCGGGAGTAGTGTTTCAATGAATATCATCCGTAAGGAAGCACATCTGCTTGGTTTCATGGTCGTGCTTGCCCATAAGCCTTTGATCACAAAGTCCAACCGCGCTGCTCGGTTAATGTGATGCAAAGCACATCGAAATTGGACCGTAGATCAGTGGAAACGGGTTCTTTGGAGTGACGAATCAAGGTTCACATTTACCGTTCGGATGGAAGGCTCTGGGTCTGGCGTCTACCTGGAGAACGTCTCCTGCCAGAATGCATTGGGCCAACAGTCAAGTTCGGCGGAGGTGGAATTATGGTCTGCGGGTGTTTCTCCTGGTATGGGCTGGAACCCTTGGTACCCATTCATGGTAAACTCAACTCCGATGCCTACTGCACTATTTTGGATGACAATGTGTTTCCTACGTTGTGGCAGTTTTACGGGTTGGACCCCTGTTAGTTTCAGGACGACAATGCCAGTTGTCATGTTTCGACGTTAACCAAGGCTTGGTATGGTGCCAATGGAGTTCATCGAATGGACTGGCCTGCCGAGAGTCCAGACCTGAACCCTATCGAGAACCTCTGGGACGAGCTGCATCGCCGAATTCACTACTACCCGTGTTGCAAAATCGGTGAAGGAACTTCTATGTCTTCTCCACGCCGCCGAGTGGAAGAAAATACCACTAGCTGTCATAAAGACCTGTGGAAAGTATGCCCCAGAGGGTCCCCGCTGTAATTACCTCTCGTGGAGGCTCTACCAACTATTGATTTTGAATAAAGTTAGTTTTTCTTTTCTATCACAGGTGTCCAAATACTTATTGGTAGTCAATGTAGTTGCCGATTATTTTGTTCTTCAGCTATAAAGCAAGCTGAAGAAAGAAATCTCAGCTAGCTAACCTAGTAACTTGGCCTCGAGAGGCAGAAATACGTTTTGTCTTGCAATCCCAAAACTCCCCCTATATACTCCCCAACTAATTAACATTCTGGTGGGGAAGCGGAAGACAGAAGTTATAGTTTAGATCTAAATCATAAAATGATTGGTTATTTAAAATGATAGGAACCTTACAAATATTAACTTTCCAATAAACGTGGTAATTTTTCCAGTTCTTTAATGTCGTGATAGAAGCACTCTCCTTTCTTCCCAATTATCGAAGCAAGATCTTCTGGAAAGTCTGCAGAGATGCAATCAAAAAATAATATTTTTCCTCACTGAGCACTTTCAAGATTTGAAATTTTACGGCATATCTTCCATTATGCCACTGTCTTTGTCTCAAAACTTAGTAGTGACATTCTTTAAGCCATCCAAACATTGTTTTGAGCTTTTATTCATAACTAATTCATTTAGGCCTGCAATACATTTAGTCAGTTTCACTTCTGATAACAGAAGAAACACTTTGAAAAAGATATTTAAATTAATTATAGATTTGTATCTGTGACTTAGCAAACAATTTTGTGATACTCAGTCTTATGAGAAATGGTGTGAAAGAATTTTCTGTTTGCGGACAAGAACTCGACATAAAATGTTTTTGATTCAAAACTGAATTTTGATTGCTAATACTTTTGTCATTATAAACATTAACCGCAAAGTTTTTCTGTAGTTTATGCGGTTTATGGTGTGTGTAGTTAATATGGTTTCTGTAGTTTATGTTTTCGGATATGTAACTAAAGTTTGTAATAAAACTGCATATTAAACTATAGATATTTAATCTATGGGATAAGTATTGGTATTGAGAGACACAAGATCTTTAATTCATGCATGTTGCGAGGAGAAGATTTGATAATTCAGAATTCGATATAATTGATTATTATATTTCAAATTATAACTAATTGCTTTATAATCTGAAGTGCTGAAAAATAATAAATTTTCACTAATATTATTTTACATTCTTTAAATTTTTTAAGTTTATCTTTTGAAAATTAAATTTAATATTTGAAAATTAAATTTAAATTATAATTTAAATGAAAATTATAATTTTCAGTTAATTTTAGATTTAAATAAAAAAATAATTTTAATTTAATTTAATGTTCTTTGAATGGTTAAAATATACTGTGAAATTTCAGATTGAATTTAAATTTAAAAAAACTTTTACTTATAAAGATCCATGCAAGTTTTGTTAATTACGTGAAAGGTCTAGTCTATCATTCTATAACAGAAAAAAACTTATAATATGCAAAACACTATGCACAAATTATAAAATATAAGTATTCAATTAAAAAATGGGAAAATGCTCTTAGTTAAAGAGTTCAAAGATTTGTTTTTAAATACTAACTTGAAATATTCAGTTATTTTCTCTGAAGAACAAATTCCTTCCTGTAGTCGTTTGATAATAATAGTTCTATCTGCCTATAAAAGAAATTTAAAATATATGTAACTAATCTTATTAATCACATACACAAATATTAGAAAACAGCTTTCAGAAAACGATATGTGTGTTCAGGTTTTAAAGGGGTTATCCCACTATTCGTATTCTCTTTTGTTTGTTTAGTTATATTACGAGGTGTGACGACAAAAAAAAAAAAAAAAGAAACTAAGTCTATAGCTTGGGGAAAAAAAAAAAAAAAAAAAAAGTAGTTGACAAGAACTGTTTTGGTGACGTCATTCCACACACCTCCTCTATCCGTGGGGCCGGTTTCGATTTAACCAATCACACGAGTTGGGAGTACTGCGTCATTGAGTGAACATGTGCAACTGCATTCTGCCGGAAAAAATGTCTAATGCAAAAACAAAACAGTGAATCAACCTCAAGTTTATTGTTAAACTTAAGAAATCAGCTACGGAAACATTTCAAATGTTAACTGAGGCTTATGTAGATGAAACTTTGTCTCGTGCACTTGTGTTTGAACGGCATAAGCAGTTTTCAGGGGGAAAGGACAAAGCAGGCATGTCAAAATCAAAATTCAAGGCAATGGTTAACTGCCTTCTTCAACATTAATGGAATTGTAATGATTGAGTGGGTTCCCAGTGTTCAGACTGTTATTCAACACCACTACACTGAAGTGCTAAAAAGAATTCGTGAAAAAATTAGGGAAAAAGGGCCACAGTTGTGCAGAACTGTTGCATCAGAACAGTGCACCCGCTCACACTACCTTATCTATCAAGCAGTTTCTGACCAGCAAAAACATTACTGTGATGGAGCATCCTCCTTATTCACCTGATTTGGCTCCAGGCGACTTTTTTCATTTCCTAAAGTTGAAACTTGCTTGAAGGGAAGCCATTTTACCTCAGTTGAAGAGGTTCAGACCATAACGGAGAATATCCTGAAGGGCCTTCCAAAAACCTCGTTTCAGAACTGTTACCAGTAATGGCAGCACCAATTGCAAAAGTGTGTGAATGCTGAAGGGAATTACTTTGAAGGTGATAATGTCACGGAGAAAGTACGAGTACAATGATTTATTGGACCAGTCTCCTTTTTTTGTGTCTCACACCTCGTATGTTAACTTTTCTCTGTTACTGGTTTCTTGCGGGCTGGTTTCCCTGAATATTTAAGTTATTAACTTAAGTATGGGATATTTTATATCCTTGGAGAATTCTGTGATGGGAAGACTGAATATACAGCAGATTCTCTCGCTTGTTTTTCCATGGCTGTCCTTAATGTAATCTTATGGTTAAATATTAATTTGGCTATGTGTACTGAGCCCTTAATCTTCAGAGAATCAGTTTCCATGCAGATATTGCACTGATTTAAATTATTCTGTTTCAGCATGTTAATTTCGCATGTTCATATTTAAAATCCATAGGTACATTGAACGTAAAAGTATATGCTTTTCCTACTGGAATTTCATGCAAAAACCGATAAAAGTGACGTTAGTGTAGTTGAGTAGAAAATAGTTTTAAATACAAGGAATAATATATAAATACAGCACTGCATTTGTTATACAATATATAAAGAATGCGAAATGACGGAATTCGTAATATATGCTATTGAATAATTCATTATAAATAGGGGCCCGACAACAGCCGAGCGGTAAAAGCCGCTGAACACTGATGGTTCGGTCCGGGACTCGAATCCTTGCGAGCGGGTTAGCTGCATGCGCGTTTTCGTGGTTTTTTCCATGCGCAACGTATATGTACGAGCCAGTTTCCCTTAGAAAGTCCTCCACGAAGGCATTCCTCTTCCTAAGCAGATAGCCATCGAGTGCTTTGCCATAATCAGCCCCCCCGGGGGTCGACGTAGAGTACTCTGCGCAGTACTGGCTAGGATCTGTACCTAGGCAGTCTCGGCCACGGCGGCATAAAATTTATGAACTTGGCGGTTCCTGATGGTCCATGGGGTAAGTCTATACTTGCTCTTCATGGGCCGGGAGGTGTAAGTCCTTTCCACCAGGGTATTGGTAGCCAAATAGCAAACTGGACCATTGAGCGTCTGGTCACCGCTGTCCTTGTAAAGCCTAAGGAGAGGGGCATCCCGTGTAGTGCTGGCAGGTAGCCCAAATTAACGGCCGGTCATCGACCCTAAGTTTCCATCGCCCACCCCACCGTGGTCTCGGTCCGGCCGGGACGGTGGTCTTGACCGGTCCGTGTTTAGCGGTGGGCTTTTTGATCGTTGAGCGATCAATAGAAGATACCATAAAATTGTTGGTGTCTCGGGGGTGTGGGACCCTGGGCCCAGAAGGAAGTGTTTCAATGTCATCGGTGGGTGACGCTTTCGGGATTTATCCCATTCCCAGAATGTGATTGAGTTCACGAACTGCGGTATAAATCTTAGTTAGTTAGTTAGTTGCCATGATCAAGTAAACCCATAATTCATTATGAATATCTAATAAAAATGTAAATACAAATAAAGAGAATTCAAAATTATACGCAAAATATATATCGGTATTATACAAAAGGAATATCCATCAACGTATTTTTTACGTTTTTGAAATCATTTATATGAGTGGTTTGAGAAATGACATATGATAAATGGAAACTATTGCAAAATTAACTCCCTGATGGCCCTTGAAAAATATCTCTCCATATCTTAAAGCACAGGATTTTTGTTATCTATATTGCTGCATTTTGTCTTCAATATATGTGTTTACAATTATTTTCGCAAAAAAAATGGTTCACCGTTTTTTCTAAAAATAGTGTGAAAATAACGATTAGTATATTTATTATAAAATTATTTTCTGCTTTAAAAAGAATGATTTCGTAGATCTTTTAAGAAGCTTATCTTATTTATATCCCATATGGGAGGAAGACTTACGTACAATACTTCATTGAAGCTACCCAAAACCAGATTCAAGACGACTAACAATACACGATAGTCTTTCTAATTCGCAACTCCTGGCGAATCTTTGACCCGTGTAGAAATGCAGGGTGGTTATTAAAAAACTTCCCAGATGTATGAACTCCTAGTGACCTTTCTTCTCAACCAATCGAAACGAAATTTCAGATACTGTCATTTGAAGGTATGCACCTGGGATTGTGATGATTTAAAACATAAGAGCTCTCGTGGTTACGGTTACAGTGAAAACATTTTGAAATTTTTGAATGGCAACACCCACTTTTTTTCCTGCGCATACTGATCATCGCATTGAGAAACCATAAATGGTGTTGGAACAATGCACATATGACAAAAACTGCCGGCGTGAAATGTTTGCAAAACAGAGCATAGTAAAGGGCCAATGATAACATAAGGGAGTATAGGGGGAATAATTTTCACTGGAATTATAAATTTTCGAATGAGTAATTTCAATGAAAGTTTTTTTTTTTTTTTTTAATTATTGCAACGTTTTAAGACAGAGCCATCTCCCGTAACTTTGCAATTTCGTGACACCGTAATCTCCCGACGTCATTCCAATGGATTTCCAATTCTGGCGTTATTTGAAATCTAAGGTGTACACATTAAATCCCTGAGATTTGTCAGAATTGAAAGATGGCATGAAACGTGAAGTTATACAGATTCCTCCTTCGATGTTACATTCATCATTGCACGGTGAAAACTTGTAATTCTAATTGTAGAGTAGAGACAGACACTCCAGACGAAAGATCTTCGACCCAGGTCCATATTCTAAAGGACCCATACAGAATTTAGGTATCCATCGTCCGTGGGACCTCATCCTAGCGGACGCAACCCCGCAGTCCCCGCCCGGCATTTACAAAGCATAGGGCAGAACGATACGTTGCTATGTTAAAAACTCTGTCACCTTGCCTTAGGGCACCACTCCATCGGCAAAAATTACATTGTTATGGGTGCTCTGTCCACTCTGTCAGTCCCCGCCACGAGAACTGAATGGGGTCAAACCCCTGGGGACTCGGTCGACGATCTCCAATCTAGCTCCACCACAGCCGAAGGAACAGACACGACAGTACCAATACGGTACCTGCCAAGCCTGAACCAACCTGAGTACAATACTCGGGTTCTAGTCCTTTGAAGCCAAATTATGTACCCCCCGTGGTTGAGACTGCCTAGGTACAGATTCTAACCAGTACTTCCCAGGCGTTCGCCTGAGTCAACCCCCGGGCTGTAGAGACAGGTTATTTCGAGGCCAGAGAGATGAAAAATAACAACGTCTTCGCCGGAAATCAAACCACGGACCTCTGGAATATGCACCCAGCGTGCAGACCACCACACCACGAAGGCATGCCAAGAGGGCGGGAGAAATACCTTACAGAGTCATTAGGATTTTTTTAAAGCAGGAGACATTAAAGATGTGCACTGCCCTCACCTGGACCTCTCGAACAAGCATCGAGTAGGCTTCCAATTACACCCCGAAGGCATGCGTAAAAGAGGGAGAAAATGTTTTATATAATGCAAATTTTTTCTCTCTCCTCTCTTATGTTGGCAATCCTTTACAATGCTCTTCTTTGCAAATGTTCTACGCAGGCAATTTTCGTTATATGTGTATCCTCCCAACGCCATTTATGGTTTTTCAATGCGTTGATCAATTTGCGCAGGAAAAAAGTGAGTTTGCCATTCCAAAATTTTGAAATTCTTTCAGTGTAACCGTAACCGTGAGAGCTCTATTGTTTTAAGTCATCACAGTCTCCAAAGCGTATTTCAAATAACAATACCTGAAATTTCATTTCGATTGGTTTAGCGGATAGGCCGTTAGGGGCTCATATATATCCTGGAAATCTTTTTTATGACCACCCTATACTTTTATAAAGCCATTTTTAGAGAGAAGAGTAAATATATAGTTATCAGTCAGTTAAGATTCAGAATGTCCGTCTTTCTTTAATTATCCTAAGGATTTCTTAGCAATAAAACGAATAGAGGAATGTGAAATAATCTTACGTATTTACTCTTGGAGCAAACATTTAGAATCCGAGAATAATTCCGAATTAACGTGTAACACACTATGGAAAGGAAAGCAGATGAGATCACATGGATCCATAGAAGAGGAGATCTATATTTAGAGAACAAAATATTTGGTTTATTTTCGAAATTAACGCAGCTCTACTTCACAGAATTAATAGAAGTAAAATTAGATAATGATATTCAATGTATGTGCAATACAATCAAATACCTCTGTATTATTATTACATCTTATTAAGTAATAAAGGTAAAAATCAATCGCAGAACATATGATACATTTACATATTTATTCCGATTACTCGCAAAAGTTACGCAAGTCCAAATAAATGCCCGATCATTATACGTTTCTACTCGTCTAGGAGGAACTTCGTAATTCAGACAGATTGAAATTGAAAATGTTAAAATTCATAATAACTTGAACTAGGAAGACTGTTAGATTTTTTAAAATCCAAATATGAATTTTAGAAGATTCTCGGAGCTTTTAAATCCTCCATGTTAGAGTAATAAAAAAGGAAAGAAAATACGTAATATTACTGCGAAACGCCCAGCTGCGGAAGAGAGCTTCTCCTCAAAGCAGGATTAGGTTTGCAAGGAAGTGGCATGGAAAGACAGGGTTGCCAGATTTTGAGCGAAATCGACTTTTTGGCGACAAACTTGACGATATGCCATAGATGGAGCGACAGCATTCTAGAACGCATTCTTAGCGGGTTCCCTCGGCAATGTACTCGGAGGTAGGTTAAGGCTATATATATACCTTGCCTGTACGCGAAGAGAGTAGTAGTAGTCAGCACTATGTTTAGTTCAGTAGTAATGTTTTGAGTTCAAAGGTTAGCTGGAGAGCGACCGAACCGAGTCGGGAGCTGTACTTTAGCGCTTTGCCATGAAGCTGTCTTCACCGTTGTAGCCTGGAAGCTGTGTTGTTAATTGTTTCAGCGGGTTTCTCGTGGTGTTTCGACGACTGTAAACGTGTTTTTTGAACTCTCCTGTGTAATACTGGCGAATAAATTCTGTTTTGATGCTTCATCAAGTGTTATCGTCAACTTCTCCAAATCCAAGAACCCGTAGAACGCAATAATATTAGAAACTCTTCTTAATGTTATAAGTTTTTAACTAAAGCGAAACATGAAATCTGTGTTTAAGATGGATAAATCTAAAAGCGCAGTTATTAAAAATATATCTACATTTGAAGACGCTAATGACATGTAGTAAAAGAATCTTGACGTTCATTTTCTCGATGTAAACTGACACAATGTATTGAATAACAGTTTATATGCTTTACATAGCCATTAATCTTTCGAAATAAAAAAGTTTGATGTAAACACATGATGTATGGCGTATTAAATTATAAAAAAGTTTGGTGCACTTCATTTAAACTTGTATTTTCCTCGAATTATTCCAACTTGATTAACCAATCCCCCAAGGCAAATTGAAAATGACATCAAACACAGCAAATTTTGAAATTAAATATCCAGGCCAGTTTTTGTAGTTTGCGGTAGCCAAAAGTTTTGTATTTTTATTTTTTCATAATGTATTAAATCTGAAAGTCTACCTTTCTTGTTAGTGCAACGGGTTTCAAAGACGCAGTGTAGAAACTGATTAATAGTATACATCAGTAATATTCAACCGATGTATTACTATTACATTTAATTTTTATCTTATCTTTCAAGAATGTATAAAAAGAACTAAATAATTATCAAATATCTTTGCATCCACTTTTATAATTCCTTCTTCGAAGTGATTTTTGCTTGACGTCTGTACGTACGAAAGGAATGCAGAATTCTTTTTCCCCAAAACGGATTACAAAATGGATTTAAAGTGGGTTCAGAAGGGTTTTTTTTTTTTTTTTTCATAATATCTGTACATAGATACGTAGATACGTATGAATGCATTTTGCGTAACCCAAAAAGACGTTGAAATTTTGTTTATGGGACTGTTGTAACATCTAGTTGTGTATCTCTTTATTGCAATCGACAATACCAAACATGTATATACATATTATAGAGAGAGAGACTGCCCCCATAACACAGAACATCCTCAGAATGTCCTATTTAAGTAGCGATATCCCGGGATATACTTAGGATGTCCTGAGTATGTTGATTCTCGGATGTCCTGAGGACATCGTAATTTAACATCCTCAGGATGTCTTATTTAAGTCGCTATGTCCCAGGATATGAGAGGATGTCCTGAAGATGTTGATTCTCAGATGTCCTGAGGACTTCACCAATTGCACATCCTGAGATACTCATACTGCATTGTCCAGAGGACTTCGGTTGTCAAACATTCTGAGGATATTTGTTCTTAAATTTACCAGTTTTAGTTTTTTGACATTGCACATTAGTTAATTTTCATATGTATTTTACTAAGTTATTTCTAGATGCTGTACATTAAAATAATAATATGATTGAGGATTTATTTTCTAGAATATTTGCTAAATTATATATACGAGTATATTGTTTCAAAAGAATATAGTAAAGTTAAATTAAATTTTAATAATTCTCTTGCGCCATTACGGGAAGGAATGAAATTTGACTTTAACAAACATTCTCTATTCGCAAAAAGCAAATTTAAAGTTAATTAAATTTAAAATGAAATTGAATTACAAATAAATGATTAATTATTGCTGCGAACTAATCTACAATATCATTTAAATTCTGAGAGCATATGTAAACCAAGTGCAAGAATCAAAATCTATGAATATAATAAATGTAAAATATGTAATTCCAATAATTTTTTTAATCCTAAAAATTTATAAAAATGCATAAGTGAGTAATTGTTGAGCAAGCAGGAGACAGACTTATCAAGGGGAAGTTGCTTCCAAACCTAACTCTTCAATTATTCTATTCGTGTTTCTTCATCCATGTAAGCAAGGGTAAAAGGAAAATCAAAACCAAAAGTAAAACCAAATGTTGTGAATTACTAAAAAAAAATTTTAACAAGTGGGATTTAGAGAAAATAGCAAGTAAAGATTAGAATAATTAAAGTCAATTAAGAGTAGAAAACCAAATTTTTTAGAAAGCCAAAGTAATTTAGAAACTCTTGCCTCTATATATGTGTGTAATAAAACAAATTTAGAATTACTGATGAAGGATCACTGAGACGTAGAAGCGTAGTAATGTTGTTTGGCGTAGAACGTAGATTCGTACTAAGGAGGAAGAATTCTGATTGCGTAGAATCTTAAAATGTTAAATCCGTAATGGCTAGGAAATTTGACAGTCGAAGCGGATTAAATTCCATTTTTATTTGAATTGATATTTGTGGCCACCATTCACTTGGCTCTCTAATCGTGCCTATTTCCAGAACATTTACATTTTTAATTGATAAATTTGAGTTCAATTGATAAACCGAATAATTAAAATATCAATTGAATTGATATTTGTGGCCACCATTAACTTGGCTATCTAATCGTGCCTATTTCCAGAACATTTACATTTTTAATTGATAAATTTGAGTCCAATTGATAAATTGAATAATTGCTACGTCATCAACTTTACGCAAGCCATGCGATATATATTTACCGATAAATGACGCAAACCAGAAATGGAGTTAATCATTTAAGAATAAAGAGGAAATAACCAAATTAAAAAATAGGAATTAAAAAGCTATTAATAAATTAAATTATAAAGCTTATTTACATATTTTTTATATTGCACACACACACATATATATATATACTCGTATATGTAATAATAAAATTCCATAGTCAAAAATACACTTAAAATTCTAACTGTATGTTCTTTTCATTTTTAATGGCGACGGTCTCTTATTTGAAAGTACGTGGAATTAAATCCACAGCCCCGTAGTCAAGTTGTTTTTCCCGCTTTTTCTACACGCACAGTTATAGAATGTTCTAGAGATATTTAAAGTGAACTGGAATGGCTGACGAGGCTGACGTCATTTCTTGGAAGCTCCGCCTTTCCAGAGGCTATAAAAGGACTCGCAAAGGAATATCGGGGTCTTTTCTTTAATGTAACGATGCAGTAAACTTCATACAAAAAGTTATTAGTAATTCTTTTTTATTTACTCCGGAAATATGATTTTTGTAACTGCTATTTCTCCTTACCAATAATAAATGGATCCTGTTTTTTAAACTTATCGTCTGATAATTTAAGCTTCGACTACATCTATGATTCTTTACCAATCTATTTATTCCAGACAAAAGCTGGTACATCACATATATATATATAAAATATATATATCCAACTCCTTACCTGGTCTTTTAGTTTCGCAATCGTCTGTCGTGGTCATATACTTCCTATTACAGAAGTATATAAAATGACGAAAATATTTATGTTTTGTCTATGTCAAATTTAAAAAACAACAATTAAATTTTGGACAAATAACGAAATCCAAGTTTTAATGCTACCTCCCAGTTTCTATATTTATATTTAGGTAAGTTTTATACTCGTTATGAAAAAATAAAAATGCAGGAAGTTTGACTCCCGTACGACGAAAATTGGAGTATTTAATTCCAAAATTTGCAGCTCTTGATGTCAGTTTCAACTTGCCTTGAGGGATCGGAAAAAAATTAGAGCTATTCGAGGAAATAACTTCAAATGAAACGGCAAAAAAGTGTGTATAATTTAATTGGCCGTACAAGGGAGTCATGCAATGTCACATCAGATTTTACTTTATCAAAAAAAAAACATTCTTTACAGTCACAAATGGCACTACCAAGGCGGCCATACCATCAAATAGCGTATACGTGAAAAGTCTCCAAATGTAAAAAGAAGACTGTTATTATAATCCAAGGCTCAAAATCTTTAATATATAAATGTAAGATTAATTTAAAAATACATGTATTCAGTTTATGGAAACTAAAATAATAATACATTTAACATTTGTGAAATGCACTAATTATAGCCATAAAAATGTATCAATTTAAGAAAGGAACATAAATGTAAATAAATGCAATAAAAATGAGAATAAATGTATGCGTAATACTCACTCAGGATCTAAATTACCAACTGTAGTACACCCAAAGAGGCTTTTAGCTAAGAAAAAAACACATTGAAACATTTATTTTATATTTATTGATTATTATGATTGTATAAGAAAGTACAAACATTTTTTAATATTAGAAGTTTTTAATCTACTTTTTTTTAAAAACACTGAACATTTCCTTTCTACCTTTTTTAAACATTGTGCATAGTAAATTCAACAAACTTACCCAAAAAACAGATTCAAACAATTAAATTTTAGGTGAAGTCTGAATTTAATAATGCAAAACTTGAAACCCTCATTGGAATCATTGAGACTATTTGCACATTAAAAAGAACAAATGTAAGTAACATTAAGGGCTTTGTAACATTATTTCACATTAAATTTCTATCCCTACTTCTTAAATTGCAAAATACAGAAATGAACTCCTATTATCAGAGAATTTAGGGCGTTATTTTTTTATCAAATTATGCATCCTATCATTTTTTGTTTGAAGTGTTTTGAGCTATACAGGGTGATTCTAAATTACGTTTACAAATCAAGAGGCGTGATAGTACTCATCCAGATGAGCAATAATTATCATAGAATATACCGTCGCATTCCACTCTGAGAGGCAGAAAAGAAGAATACTAGAATTCCAATCTGAACTTACAACAGTGTTGGGAGAGCGAGACCAAATGTTGCACAATCAGTTTAGTGACAAACTCACAGAGAGTGCACAAAACGGATAAAACCGGAAAACTTGTCGTTCGAGTGTCAATTCGAGCTCAGACTTTGATGGCAAACACTCAAATGCACATCTTTGGATAGCAAGGTCTCAACTTCGCAAATGATTGCAACAACTTATTTATGTAATCAAGGGCTGAATATTATCAACTAACTCCAACGTTTGCTGCATGCCGAGGTTATCATGAAAAGCTCATGCTGCGTTCCGTCTGTCAGAACTTCGTGTCCCAGGCGCTTCGAGTAGAATGAGCGCAGCACAGTAAGTCCATGAAGACAGGATAGAAGATGGCTAAGAAAAAACAACTGTTGCCTTGATACTTGATTTCAAGATAGTTTTTCACCCTAATAGATAATTTACCCTTAATAATTTAGATAATTAGATAACAATCTTAGCGGACACAAGCATAAAATTCTGAAGTCAAACAACATAAACAGTTGTGTATAACGTCAACATTAAGACCTAATTTGCAAAAGCATTGTTGCGAGAAAAACGCACTGAAGTGTTGTGATTCGGAACACTGAAGTGTTGCGAAAAAACACACTTAATTTTGAACGTTACGACTAGTATATATACTAAACATGTATTTATGACTAGTATATATACTAAACTGAATATGCCCCACCCCCTTGTTTTTACTAGTTTGGTACTTAAAAATCGATCCCGCAAAGTTACGTGTTATGTAGTGTTTCTGAGGTAAAGAGGGCCCACCAGCGGCCGAGCGGTAAAGTCGCTGAACACTGGTAGTTCGGTTCGAGGTTCGAATCCCGCGAACGGGCTGGCTGCATGGGTGTTTTCGTGGTTTTCCCCATGTGTAACGTGTATACGAGCCAGTTTCCCTTAGAAAGTCCTCCACGAAGGCATCCCTCCCCTTAGGCAAATAGCCCTCGAGGCTTCTCCGTAATTAAATAACCTAACCTGAGGTAAAGATTTAAAGGGAGAATATAACACATAGAAAAGAGATATGTTAACACTGTTAGCATTCTACGGGGTGAATCTGAAAAAGGGACAAAACTTTACGGGGTGATAGAACGCAGCTATACGAGCAATATTCGTCATAGAAAGTTTGGGAGGAAAGGAAAAGGCAAGCCACCAGGTGGCATTGTAAATGATACAAAAAGGATCGGTTCTCGTACTCAACGGCATTTTCTACCGTTTATTGCCAAGATGTCTGGTTATACGAACCACGAAATTTCTAGGACAGTGGATTGGTCGATCTGGTCCCATAGCTTGGCCACAAAGATCACCGGATCTCTCATGTGTGGACATTTTTCCTGTGTGATCATACGGAAGGCCTAGCCTACGAGTGCCCAGTTGAAACAAGTAGGAATCTAGTCGGCAGGATCACCGCTGTTGCCATTGCCATGTAGCCTTCATTTACGATGAAATATTATTAAAGCTTTTTATTTCTGTTCTTGGTTTTTGCCATTTTGGAAGGTTCATTTTAAATATAAGAATTTAAGTTATATTATTAATTTCTGACAGTCTAACTCAAAATAATAAGCCTATCGTTAACTAATCAACTACTAACCGTTAACTAACAAATGTAAGAATTCATACTAGTTTAAGTTGAATAATTCTTTAATTTGTAATATTTATTTTATATAACGAGTTTTTTTTTATGTTACGCATCTTCACTGTCACTTCTTCCTTTCCTTTTTCCTGCCAGAATGCAACATTTAGTTCGTGCGTATTTAAGTGAGGGTTTGATATTTGTTTAGTTAGTGCGTGTTCCGCCTGCTGGTATTCTACGATAACATTTCGTTTACGGTGTTGATTTAATTTTGCTAATAGTGCTGTCACGGGGTTTTAGGTTTGAGCCAAAATTGCACGTTAAACATTTCTTCGTAACCGCTGGCTTTCTTCTTAACTTAGATTTAATTTAAATTTGAATTCCTTACTTTTTGAGTTTAATAATATAAATATAAGGTTTTGTAAGCACCAGGAGTACTTTCTGTTCAACTATTTGAGTTCTTAATAAAAGGGTCTTTTACATCCTTCATTTGCATTCTAGACACAGCGATAAGTCTTTTAGTTCAATTAGAGTCTTAACTTAGTGTATGTTACCAAAAAAGGTGAGACTCTACAATCTTCTTTATAATCTTCTTTATAATCAGAATCTTTATAATCTTCATATTAATTTATATTTCATACACTCGTAAGAACGAATACTTCTCAATTTAAAGTATTACCTTCTTTATTGGATCGAAAGTTTCGTACTCTTAGAAGTGCATGGTTTTTAATTGGAACCTTTAAAACGATGAAACAAAAATTGTTATTTTTAAATCAAACGGGCGTTAGACCCAAAGGGCTCTTTGTCTCAAAACGGCATTTGGCGTCGTTTCTCTTTCTGCGTTGATTCACTTTTCAAGCCGTTGCCAACAAATATTATCATATATTTAAAGAAACTGAATAATGAAGACTCTGCATGAATGTTTCTTGCATTGTGAAAAAACAAAGGTACCTGAAGCCATCGAATGTTGAATAACGTAGTTCTCCAACCGAACATGGGCACTTGGAAGCCCGAATTTTGAATTTTCGAATTTGTTTTATTTTCTATTCAAATTCTGTAAAACTTTAAAGAATTTTGGATTAACAAACTCAACGATTTCAAAGCGAACAATGGCAACACTAAGGAAAAAAACATTTTTATCTCCAGCGCGCGAGTCTGTGTATCAGAAATTCTAAAGATATGCTGTGTTTCTAAATATTTTGTTTTATTGCTATTGAATTCAATTTTATGTGGTTCAAGTGCGAAGAACATGATATTTAATAAATAAATGTAACAAACAAAACGTTAAAAATATATGGGCGTAATATATAAAATCTGACAGCTTTCAGATTTTTTTTTTCTCTAAAATTCGCAGACGTAAGGATTAGTTTCAGCATTCTTATGCATGACAAATTTAGTAAATAAGCGACAGAAAAATGTATTGTGCAACATGTTTTGCAAATTTCTTATTACATCCAAATTGCTGAAATATTTAACTATACTTTTTAAGAATATCGAACAAAAAAATTTTTTTTAATTGCTTATACTTACTCATATCTCCTTGCAAATTGGCTGGCAAAACACATGTTAAACAAATGACTGTATTAACTATATTATATGCTATTAAGTGTTTCAGAAAAGATAAATATTGAATAGCATCGATTCCACATCTTTTCATTGGTCACTTTGCCTGCAAAAAAAAAAAAAAAAAAAAAAAAAAAAAAAGGTGTTTAATAATAGAATTAAAAAGTTTTTTTTCCTTGAACTTTTTATTACTTATGTAAAAGAGGATCATCGCTTAAAATTTACGTTTTTATCAAAATTCACGTTTGAATATTTTAAATGTTATTTAAAAAACCTTTTACGCTAATGATATCTTTAAATTTTTTAAATAAAACATAATAAGATTTTCGAAATGTGTATTTTTGACTATGGAGACTATGCATTTACTATACATGCACTATACATGCATTGAAGAGTTTCCCCAACTTTTACTTCCTTGCATAAAGGAAGTATTGTAATCGAGAAAAATTTCGAGAAGCATACTTCAATGAAAATATCCATTTAATCCGCTCTCGGATGCATTTGAAAGAATTTTTTGCATGACATCTATACGTACGGACAGAATAAAAGACTCTTTTTTTTTTTTCAAAACAGATTGTAAAATAGATTTTAAATGGATTCAAAAGAGAATTTTTTTGTGACGTATATAAGTACGTATCTCTCATAACTCAAAAACAATTCGCAGTAGAAACTTTGAAATTTTCTCTATGGAAATTCTATAACATTTAGTTGTGCACCTCCCTTTTTCGTCACAACTGAGGGCACCAAACGTATATAATTATTCATGCACGTATATATTCCCATCTTTTTACCCGGCTCGGTGAGCTCAGTTGTTTCCCCTTATACCTTGATAAATTATGCATTTGTTTGCTTTAAAAGTGATTAAACTTTGCTGTTCTTAGGTTCCGGTTAAGATTTTTATGTCTTTAATTAATCTGCATTCAATAGTTATAGAATTATAAACAATTTTAAAGTTTAAATAGCTAATGAGGCCAACATTTGTTTATACTTTAAACTCTTGGTAAAAAACGGAATTAAGTCAGTTGATGCTCCAACTTGGTTCACCTCGTGCCAAGGAGCACTAGAATACGTTTGCCGCTGGCAACAGCCTTGAGCGCCATTCAGGTGACAGTGCAATTTAGATCAGTTCCGCCCCCTACTTTGATGGAGAGCATTGCGGGGGAACGGGTCAGAAGGTCCCCCACCCTTCTCTCCAAACCACACGAGAGAACTTTCAGCTCGTCGCATATTTAGAGTGTCGCCATGCCGTGTAGAAACTGTATTGCACCAGATGGCGTTGCGTGCGCTTGAATTCTTCGGACTAGTGCAGAACCTTGATGATTGCGAGAGATGTAACACCAACGCGAAACATTAACCAAAGTTTATATGTGCTTCTCTTTGTTGTAAATGTATTAATTGTGTCGTCAATAAAATATAGAGAAAATGATAAAAGGCGAGAATGCGTCTAACAGCTAAGTGAGATTTCTTTATATTTTGATTTGAACTGAGTTTCGGCGACAAAGAATGTGTATGCGTATTTACATGCCGCACCGACACTATACATTTACAAACAGAACATTTCAAAATTCAACTGTTTTAGGGTTTTTCTGCGTTATAATATAAATCTGTAGACTCATAGTATTACAAGTAATTACTGCTTCTTAAACTAAAATACTTCTTCCTCTACAGCTTTTGAGATACATTCGATGTTTTAAAACTCTTTCAGGAGTAAGCAATATGCATGAGATCCAATTTAGCTTAATCATTAAGGACAATCCTGACTGAAGAATTTAACAAAGCAAATTAACAACCTGATTTTGAATTCTGCTGCAAGATAAGTCTAAAATATCTTTTGCAAACAGATAAAAGTAATCTTTGCACTGGTAGGACTTCATTTGCCGTGCATCCCATTTGATTATTTGGCCCAGAACTGCTTTACAGCTATAACTGGCACTGAAGTGCTTTACAACTAATGCTGGTTATACAGGCATGGTATGAACACGGGGTTCTGCATTTAAACATAAACACCAGTAAAAACGCGTCGTCTCTTCGGGCTATTAGTTCCCTAGAAAAGTTGCTGATATACAGAAAAAGAGCCTTGCAAATCATTATTATTCATAAATCATACAATAACCGAATAGTCCTATTATGAACTACATAACAAAACGCGCCATTTTTCATTAGTTTTCAAGATTCTGCTTTATGAGGAATTTTCTAGTTCTCTTTAAGTATCTCTTAAAGTCTTCCACCAGGCTTGGGGTACATAGTAAGCAAAGACCATTAAGACTGGTAATTAAAAATAGTTATGATATACCGTTTCAATACCAAGAAATATATGAGGAAATATTTTCTACTAGTGGAAGTACCCGATGCCAGTTAAGTTAAATTGAGAGTAATGTATGTAACAACACAGAGAACGATACCGCTGTAATCCTTCTCTATTAAAGATACAAAAAATACGATTTATAAACATATATTTTTCAGTCTGATGCGATATGGAATCCACATAAACATTTCGATAGGAAAATAAACTAATTCTCAGTCATTTATATCGGCAGCAATGGCACGCAGTGTTTAATGATTTTCGTCTTTCTAAACAAATGGTCGTAAACGTTCAAGTTCCATCCAATATTTCACCTATATTCAATTTTAGTCGATTAAATGTGGCAAAAAATTGATCATAATTGATCAGAAATCAATAACGCGAACAAACACACAAACAGGCGTTCTTCTTTATATATATATAGATAGAGAGAGAGAGAGAGAGAGACAGATTTTGTAAAAATTACAAATTTTTATTAACAAACTCTACGATTTGAAAGCGAACAGCAGCAATACTTCTCGAAATGAAGCATTTTTATCTCCAACACACGAGACTGTTGCCATTCGGAAAAATGAGTGCGAAAATTAGTGTTTTTAGAGTCTTTAATTAATATTTCGGCTGATTAAAGTCGTACGAAGATGGAAACAGTCGAGATAGCTTCCGAAGAATTGGAATCGGGAGTATGTATTTAACATTTAACATTGCTATCTTTATTTCATTGTAGAACTCAGAAATATTTTATTAACGAACTCTACGATTTGAAAACGAGCAGTGGCAACACTTCTCGAAACAAAGCAAATGCTCCAGCGTGCGAGACTGATGTCACTCAAAAAAAATGAGGGCGAAAATTAGCGTTTTCTGAGTTTTAATTAATATCTCTGATTTTAGCAATTTTCTTTTTGGTGAAAAAGGGGACGTCGACATGTTTTAGGACCCAGAAAAGAATGGTAGAAAGATTGGTGACGATAGCTATAGTAGTAACTGAGTTAATAGCGAAAAAACACACAGACATTCTTCTGTATATAGAGAGATGATGTAAATGATAATCGCAACTACGGATGTTTCTTACAGCTCTGATTCGTTATTCTGATTTATTAAAACCTTGATCCGTGGAGTTTAACTGGTACCACGTCCAGTATGCAATGGGAAGATCCAAAGTTCGAATCCCGCAGAAGGCACAGTTGCTTTTTCACGATTCTCTCTCCCCCAAAACACTAAAAAAAAACGCCCCTTTGGACTTCATTTAAAATCTAAAACCTTTCGGGTTTCTTTTTTTTTTTTTTTTTTTTTAATTTTATAATTTTTTAATTTCTAATTTAATTTAATTTTATGACCCTTTAAGGCAGTTAGACTGTAATTTGAAGTTTTTAGATTCCTACTTATTTTTTTAACCTCTAGCTGTAGCGTAAGCTAAGAAAAAGTAGAGTGATATTTCATTATTTAATATTTTCAGATTTCATCAAAAATCTTTGCGGGTATTTTCATTAGTTTTTATATATAGAAACCTAGAACCTTAATCAGAGATTATCATCTGATTATCCGTGATTTAACGTGTTTGTTAATTCATTCGAACATTACATTAACGATACAGTCTCCAATGAAAATCTCTGTCTACAGGATGCCAAAAAACTATTTTTAAAAACTTATATCATTATCTAAAATAAAATGTGATCTTAAATATTTGTTCATATACACTCATGTCCATAAATTAAGGATAATCTGGAGTCACGCGGAAATCGAACTCTAAAATAAATATATCACCTGTAAAATCACTACACACATCTTCAAGAATCATATGCAAATTTCAGGAAGTAACCAGATGACACCGATGGTACGTCACAATGACGAGAATGTAAGAGAGTGATATATAAGGAATTAAGGCAAAGAAGTAAAATTGTTCGCAGGCGCTTTCAGTGCAATAACCGAATAGTTATGACACAAAGGACGCATTTGGATGATTTTTTATGTGGTAGAATTATCGGCCGTCTGGAATATGGGCGTACCCAATTGGAAGTATCCGACGAACTTGGAATTGCCCAGAGTGTCATCTCCAGGCTTTGGCAACGATTCCAAGATGATGGTAATGTGAGTAGACGTTACAGCACAGGTCACCCCAGAGTTACAACGCCGAATGAGGACCGGTATTTGGCAGTTACTGCCAAACGAAACAGGCGGAGCACAGCCTCAGATCTGTCTCGTCAGCTGTCTCCAGCCACTGGTACGACAATTTCAAGGCAGACCGTGTACAGACGCTTAGGGCAGATTGGTCTATATGCTCGTAGACCTGTCAGATGTGTTCCACTTACTGCAACTCACTGTCGCGTGTGGTTAGCCTGGAGTAGAGAGCATGCATTGTGGACACCGCAACAGTGGGCTTGTGTGCTGTTTTCCTACGAGTCCAGGTTTAGCTTGCAGTCTGATTCTCGCCGGACTTTCATATGGAGAGCTCCAGGTACACGTTACCTCCAAGAAAACATCATTGAACGACACCGTTACGGTGGTGCAGGAGTACTCGTTTGGGGTGGAATTATTCTGTGTTCCAGAACTGACCTGCATGCTCAAATTGGAACCATGACAAGCCAAATCTATCGGGACATCATTCTGGAACAACATGTACGTTTGTTTTGGGGCGCAATGGTTGCACAATTTGTGTTTATGGATGACAACGCCCGTCCTCACCGTGCAAACATCGTAAGCGAATGCCTTCAATCGGAGGATATCACCCGTATGGACTGGCCAGCATTCGCACCGGACTTGAATCCAGTAGAGCACGTGTGGAACATGCTTGGCCGACGAGTTGCAGCCCGTCAACCTCCTCCTACATGTCTACCGGAACTTCGGAGAGCATTGCTTTATGAGTGGTGTAATATCCCCCAAGATCAGATCGATAATTTAATATTCAGCAAGCCTAGGCATTGTAGGGACTGTATTGCATCGTCTGGGAGACATAGAATGTATTAACAATCATACCAACCATGTAATATTGGTTTTTTGTAAATAGGTTTTTTTTTTTTTGGTAATTTGCTCCAGGAGAGAAAAATCGCTAATTTTTTTTAATAATATCAAACATATAGCATCTTTTTTTGCTCTTTACTTTTGTTTAATAAATAAGCTTTACAAATAAGTCAAATTTGTTTTGCTTCTAACTTTTCCTTTGCCTGATTTGCATTATCCTTAATTTATGGATATGAGTGTATTTAACATCTAACGTTTAAAGAATGGTAAGATTTTTTTTAATACTTACTTTAAACCAAAGAAGCTGTATCGAAGCATTTCTGCATACGTCATAGTCTAAAAACAAAATAAAAGATCACGGTATTAAAATTTACATGTAATCAAAGAAAAGAAAGCTGTTATAACATATTAGTAATGTTTTGCCTCTTATAACAAAGCTTTGATCTGCTGTTTAGAGATATTTCAATTGCTTAAATTTAATTCAGTGTTTTTACCATAAAAAGTCATTGCGGTTCTGAAAATATAGAACTGATTTTGCGGAAACGACAACATGAACTTAATTTTGGGGAATTTTCAGTCCATTAAAGTTTTCAACAACAAATTATCTTGAAATATATTAATATAGTAACTTACTGTATTATTAACACTTTTTCTATAATGCAGGCGAGCTTTTGAGAAAGTATGTAGCTAAGAACGCATTCCAAACTCGATTTCTAATAGCAGAAGGATCTATTAAAATTGAAATTTTTCTCGTCCGTAATGCAAATACAAACAAGTTACAAACAAGTTCAATAAATTTTTCACGAGTAATAATAATAAATAAATAAAAAAAATCTGAAAGCTTTCAGATTTTATATTACGTCCAAAGGGGCGTTTTTTTAACGTTTTTTGTCTTACCTTTATTTATTAAATATCATGTTCTTAGCACTTAAACCATAAAATTCTATACAACAGCAATATCGCAAAATAATTTTAAAAGAGCATATCTTTAGAATTTCCGATACACATTCTCCCGCGCTGGAAATAAAAAAATGTTTTTTTTTTTTTTTTTTTTTTTTCCTTTCCCACACAGTGTTGCCATTACTCGCTTTGAAATCGTTGAGTTTGTTAATCAAAAATTCGTTAAAGTTTTACAAAATATGAAATAGATAATAAAACAAATTCCAAATTCCATATTTGGGCTTCCACATGCACATATTCGGATGGAAACTACGTTATTCAAAATTTGATGGCTTTAGGTACCGTCGTTTTATCATAATGCGATAAACATACATACATTTATGCAGATGCTTCATTATTTAATTTTTTTAAATATAACGCAGGGCTCTAATATTTGGTGGCAACTATTTAAAAAATGATTCGCCGTTTATAGTGGATCGACGCAAAATGCGAAAACGAAATTAATAGCCCTTCTGGGCTAATTTTCCTTTTGGGCTAATAAACACACTCAGAAAGCTTTAAAAGTAATTAAATTCTCTGAGATTTTATATAAATAAAGCAAAGCAATTTTTCCGGAAACATTTAAATATTTTAGTTACAATTTAAATATTTTATGCAATATGTACGATATTTCCAGAATTTTCTCACATTTGTATTTTGTATAATTTTTTCTAAGTATTTTCAATTACAGAGATACCACAAAAATTCAGTTCTCTTTGGGTTATTTAATAATAACGCATAAAACCATACTGTAAAAATAGTGTGTATGATTAATGAAAGAATAACTGTTTACTTAAATGATACGAAGTGCATTACGGGTAACTAAAGAATTAAACTTATTTAAATTAAACTTGCTTATAAAATGGAGGCATTTTATACGCATTTACAAATATTTTCGAAGTACGAGTACTGCTCTTTAAAAGTCCGAGCTCTTTCGAGTCCGAGCTCTTTAAAAACAAGAATGATTAAAAAGATATTCATTAAGCGATTTTCTAGATTTTTTTAAAACATGTGTTGGCATTTTGAAGCCAGGGGAAAAGGGTTGAGATATACCTCATATAAATATTCTTAGATATACTATACGTAAATATAGTATCTGCAAAATATTTTCAACTAAATTTCTTAAGTAATCCCTATTCAGACACCAGATAATAAATAGGAGCAATAACTACCAGCAATTATTGTATGGCATAATATCTGCGTATGGGACGAAACCGAAACAGAACTTTTTTGTGTTTGATTTTAAGTAGCTGGAGTTTGCTGTTATGAATATGGAAACGAATTGAGTAAAACAGTGCATTAAAGTTGGTAAACCTGCACCAGTAGTTTGTGAAATATTAAGTACGACCAATTGGATTTCAAGCATTTACTTGGACTAATGCAACGGCTAGCTTCCGTACGAACGCTGTTGTGGTCAAGATGACAATATTGGAAAGGCACGAAGTCGCTTTAGAAAAACTATTACCTTGTGCTTCGATCGATAAAGATAATGTCTTAAAACGTTCATTTGAAAATACAGAAAACATTCTCTTTCAATAAGTGCTACGTGCTTCGACCACGAAACATTAAGTTTGTTATTCTATGTACTATGTTAAGCGAGTGTTAGATTTAACGAATATTTCTACTTGAGCAAATCCCCAGGAACCAACTTGTTCATAATAAAAGAGATTCTTCACGTTATTATTGTTAACATGTTGTACGATATCACGTCCTGTAAAATTCTTATGATGTTGATCCGTGATGGCATTCCTATGTGGCATTTTCATGATGTAAACACAATAGCAAATCATAAACAACTGTAATATATACTACTTGTTTCGTGCCACTTCAGTTGCAAGGATTCTTTTAATAATTATTCACATCTCTGGAGCTAACCTCACATTTTTCAATGAATCTCAGTTTTTCCGTATTGTAATTTATAATACTGTTACTTTTTTTTTTTTTTCTGAGACCAGTTACGTTATTTTCTTCCTTCACGTTCGTACGGGATTCGTATGGATTTGGAGTGAATAATGACGACACTTGATGATGAAGTATCGAAACACACTTTATTTAGCCAATATCAATCAGGACAGCTCCAAAGTCACTTTTTACAGTCGCTCAAGATCTACTTTAAACACGCTGGAACAATCAGCAACACAGCCTTCACACTGTCAGGAAATAACGGTGGAGATAGCTTCACTGCAGAGCACCAGAGTACAGCTCCCGACTCTGCTCGGTCGTTCTCGGAACTCCACGTTCTCTCGGGACACTCCACGCTACAACTCGCGATGCACTCGACGACACACGGAGCACAGCTCCCGAATCTTCGGTTCAGTCGTTCCCGGAGCTCAACACGCTCTCTCGACGATGCACTCGACGACCCACTCGGCACTCGCTGCCCGGCTGTCAACTCGATCGACTCCGCACGGACTAACTCGAGACACACTATCTTGCACTCTAGACAAAGCACACACTAACTGACTGCGGACCAGCAGGGTTTATATAGCTTTCGACTTGTGTTCGAGAACATTCTGGGCTAAACCGTTAAGAATTCGTTCCAGAAGGTTCTCCATCCGTCCATGGCATATCGCCAATTTTGTCGCCAAATGTCGCCAAATGGGTGGTTTCACGCCAAATGTGGCAACCCTGTTTTCCCTTGCCATTTTAAAGCACCCCTAAAACTGCTTTGCGGGGAAGCTATCTTACCGCGCCTATACATTTCGTAACGATATTAATGAGCCCACCAGCGCCCGAGCGATAAAAGTCGTTGAACACTGGCAGTTCGGTCCAAGGTTCGAATCACGGTGAACGGGCTGTGGGCATTTTCGTGGTTTGCTCCGTGTGTGACATGTATTCGAACCAGTTCCCTTAGAAATTCCTCCACTAAGGCATCCCTCCTTTTAGGCAGATAGCCCTGGTGTGCTTTGCATTAACTTAATAAACCAAAACAAATCATAATATTAATGAAGACTAACATAGTATTATTTACTGTATATAAATCAAATTCATAATCATCTATCCTCCGATTAACCTCATGGACCGAAGGAAAGAATTTTGCCTCAAAATAGAGATTTTGAGATTACACCAAGTTAGTTTTATAGGATAAAAGAAATTTTGAAAAATGTGCTAAACTTTAGGTAATATATAATAAAACAAAGGATATCTTAAAAGAATTTTATATTAATTAACTTATTATAATGAATTCAACCTTTAGTATAACTGAGATTCATACTAATGGTTGCCGTAATTTTTGCGTATTTCTCGTCAAAATGCAAAACTGTTGTTAGAGTATTTCAGCCGAGGTTTTCAATGCTTTAGTGTTAGAGTTTTCGGCAGCCTCGCTTGCAGTATGCCAGTTCTGCTAAAGTTTATTCCGGCTTTAACCATTTTGCTAGCCGACGTTAAAAATGAGCTATTAAACATTTTAGCCTGCTGCAGTAGCTCAATTAGTGTAGTCTCCGACTATGTTACCTGAAGTTAACTCATTATTTTAAATATTCGTAAGTTGCGGAATTTTGTTTTGCAAACACAAGTAATGGTTTTTCTTAAATTTAAAGAGTTTATAAAAGTGTTATCTTAAGCTTCGCAGGACTTTCTCATTTTGATTCAGATTGGAGTGACAACTCGCTTGTCAAACTCATAGGGTTTGAAGAACATTGATTTAAGCTTCTGTACAAGTAAAAACCTGCATCTTTAGTATATTCACATAGCATTCTTACGAATTTAATGTAATGTAACATGAACAGCTTTGAGAAATGCAATGCCTTACCGAAAAAATAAGGTTATGGGCAAGTCCATTTAACACTGAGGTCCATTTAACATTATGTCGCCAAATTTGTGAGATGGCTCCAAGCTGGCGATGGGTTTGGCGACATTTTGGTCCAGTGCCTGTATAATTGTCATTCGTAGTGCAACTGAATAACTGTAATTGATACCTATATGTAATTGTATCCGTATCCGACCCTTATACGTAGCTTTAACCATATATGCTTGCAAGTTATTTCGAAAAATGGAAAGTACTGGAAATTTCTAGGCTGCCGGGGGGAGAACTGTACGAGACCGGAGAAAGCATCAGTTTTTAGTTCAGCGTCGACTTCGAAGTATTGAGAGATCTCCGTGCGAGCTTTGCTCTTTAGATGCGTTTTGCATTGCGTGGTGTTTAACGTTCTTAATAGTTTGAAATAGTAACTAATGATTGTGTTTTGTCCACTAAGAAGAGCTGTGCGAGTCTTTTCGTGAAAAATTTCAGAATTGTAAAGTGTTCCTTTTGGGAAAATAAATTTTATGAAATTTAAGAAAAACCATTACTTTTGTTTGCAAAACAAAATTCCGCAGTTGCGAATATTTAAAATAATGAGTTAACTTCAGGTAGCATTGTCGGAGACTACACTAATTGAGCTGCTTAAGCAGGCTCAAGTATTTAATAGCTCGTTTTTAACGTCGGCTAGCAAAATGGTTAAAACCGGAATAAACTTTAGCAGAGCTGGAAAACTGCAATAATTGAATGCGCACGTACCATCATCGGTTACATGCGCATTAAATTCATTACGAACCCCTACGCACGCAACAGTGTTAATAAGGATTAGTTGCTTGTGGGCTTGGAAAGTATAAACAGTGAAGGATTCTTGAAATATATCAGAGTTCTTCTTCTTCCCTTTAGGAACTAAAACAGTAAGGATGACAAAATTGACTTTGCTACATCTTGCACAATGTATAGTTAGCTAACGGACATAATTGTCTTCAACGGCGGACGTCTAATGAAGTTGGATGAGCATAACAGGAAACACCACGCGGGAAACGAAGACATTCAAACACTTAATCCAAGGTATCTAGAGCTGGAACACGAAGCACTTTTGCTTACTGCTGCTCCCGCTTAAATAGTAAAACTTTATGATGTAATTTTTCAGCGGTACAACTTCCAACAGTTTCAATTGAAAACTTTAACGATTTCGAAATGGTATATACGGTAAATAAAGAAAACGAAACTTTAAAATGCAAGGGGTAAAGATAACAATTTGAAAGACAAGATTATATCTATTATTAAATCAAATATTTCATGATTTCGGAATACTGTAAACAGTAAATAACGTAACGAAACTTTGAAATGCAAAGGGTTAAGATAACATTTGAAAGACAAACTGCAAATTACTTTAGCTCTGTTAAGAAGAAATTTATTAATATTCGTAGCGATTGCATCAGATATCGTTACTTTAATAAATTACACTGCTGGCCACCCAAATTGCAACACCAAGAAAGACAGGAGATATCACAACAAAATTTATTTAGTAGATAACGTGTTGACCAAGTATCAAATGATTAAATTTATAGACTTCTGGGAAGTGTTATTCCTTCCAGAATCAATAGCCTGAGTAGCCTCCATTGTTGGAGATCACCGCTGCCACACGCCTCGCATTGATTCAAAGAGACTTTGGGTGTGTTCTTGGGATACAGCAGACCAAGCAACTTCCCCACGTTGCCAAAGTTGATCTGGTGTGGCAGCTTGGGATGTAATCTGGGTTAATCGTTCAGCAACCATGGACCACATGTTTTCTATCGGCGAAAGATCTGGAAAGCGAGCCAGACAGGGAAGCAATTCAATCTGGCGATTGATGAAGAACCCCTGGACAATGGGTGCCACGTGTGATCGTACATTATCCTGTTGAAATAAGGCTGTGGTCAAGCCCTGATGACAACTGGCTCCAACACCTCGGAGATGTAGCGCTGGCTGTTTAAAGTACCGGCAATGCGTATTAGAGGAGTGCGAGAGTGATATCCAATACTGCCCCATACCATAATACCCGGTGCCGGACCAGTGGGGCGGCGCATAATGCAGCTGTTCAGCATCCTCTCTCCACGGTGTCTCCAGACTCGAATCCGACCATCGTGGTGTTGCAGACAGAAGCGTGACTCGTCAGTAAAGACAATTTCATTCCATTCTGCCGTCCACATCCTTCTTTCATCGCATTATTGGCGGTGGAGACGTCTGTGGTTCTGCGTCAAGGGAAGGCGAAACAATGGACGTCTTGCGGGCAGACCACTCTGCTGTAAACGGCGTCGAATGGTACGCGCAGACACTGGATGATGCGTGCTGTGGTATGGTTCGTGATGTGACTGAGCGATCCGTCACTGCCATGCGCACATTGTTCCTGTTATCACATGAAGTGGTGCACTGAGGTGGATGCTATCGAACACGTCGGTCCGTTGTACCCTCCTGCATCTAACGGTCACATATCCGCATTACAGTTGTTTGGTTTCGTCCAACACGACAACCAATTTCCCTAAAAGATAATCCACACTCTCGGTAGGCCACTATCCTTCCTCTGTCGAACTCGGACACTTGATCAAACGATGATCGCTGTTTACTACGAGGCATAATTGATCGTTTTTTAAAAAAAGAACCACAAGAAAAACACAATTGCCGAACTTGAAACGTCGAAAACTCCAAGCTTTAAATAGCCCTTTGAAGCGGCGTCACAAGCGCGTCTGCGCTGAAATTCTACTCATTTGCATATATCACCTCCGCTAATGCATATTGTAAATTTCATGTTATTTGCATGTTTCCTTCAGGGTGTTGCATTTACGGTGGCCAGCAGTGTAATAAACAATCAATTCATTTTATAAACACTTATGTCAAGAGAAAAGCAATTTTCCTGATGTTTGCTTTCTCTCAATATCTCTCTACGACATATAAAAAAAGATTAATAGATTAGTGATGTCTTTATTTAAGCTCAAATGGATGGATAAGCTGAAATGGAAAAAAATTCACCTGATCAATGGGTTTATAGGAGCATCCAATTTCTTCCAATATCTCCGGATTTATAAACTCACACATGTCTGTATACATAAATTCAAACCATCTAAAAAAAACAAAGAAAATATAAAATACTGCTATTCTTAAGTCAGACACATTTCATGTTAAATAAATTTAACTATGAACTCTGACCGATTTAACTAGTACGTCTTTTAAGTGCCCATTGTCTCACTTTCGCACTGCCCACTGCTTCACTATGATCGAACGAGCTCTTTAACTAAGAGAAGTTTTCAAAAACTGAATTTTGGGAAACAGATAACCAAAGGAAAACTACTATTTGTAAGCCAAATAAAAATAATAAAGACTTGCGATAGTAATAAGGCGATGCTCTTGTTTTAACATAATGAATCTTTAGAATAATATCTGTTATCATTTGGCTTTTTATATATTTTTATAATTTCGTAGACCTGTTTTTATTTATTTAGCGTATTTTTCATGATAAAGACGTGTTTATTTGTTGTGTATGTTGATATTTAATTTGTGCTAACTTATTCACATTTGTATCATGCATTGTATTGTAGATCTTTTCATTTTTAGTCGATTGGCACTGAAACTGTGAAACTAGTTTAAGGAGAACCGAAAAAATAGGCTGAAGGAAAAAGCTTTGGTATTTCTTTATTATAACGGTCCCCGACCTTACGCAGCTATGATTTCGCCAAACTGGTGAGGGACGAAAGTATAAATAAAAAAAAAACACATATAATAATAAGGATAATACCCAAATGTTGTTTGCTCTGAATATTTTTATTAATCGTAAAAGTGACTGTAATCAGCTTCGTCAAGTTGCTCCGTTTTATATTCCTTCGAGCAGTCTAAATAGATCATCCAAATATTTTTAATAATCGTAAAAGTGACTGTAATCAGCTTCGTCAAGTTGCTCCGTTTTATATTCCTTCGAGCATTCTAAATAGATCATCCGAATATTTGTAATAATCGTAAAAGTGACTGTAATCAGCTTCGTCAAGTTGCTCCGTTTTATATTCCTTCGAGCAGTATGAATAGATCATCCAAATATTTTTAATAATTGTAAAAGTGACCGTAATTAGCTTCGTCAAGTTGCTCCGTTTTATATTCCTTCGAGGTCTGAATAGATCCTCCGAATATTTTTAATAATCGTAAAAGTGACTGTAATCAGCTTCGTCAAGTTGCTCCGTTTTATATTCCTTCGAGCAGACTGAATAGATCATCCAAATATTTTTAATAATCGTAAAAGTGACTGTAATTAACTTCGTCATGTAGCTTCGTCAAGTTTTAATAATCGTAAAAGTGACTGTAATTAGCTTCGTCAAGTTGCTCCGTTTTATATTCCTTCGAGGTCTGAATAGATCCTCCGAATATTTTTAATAATCGTAAAAGTGACTGTAATCAGCTTCGTCAAGTTGCTCCGTTTTATATTCCTTCGAGCAGGCTGAATAGATCATCCAAATATTTTTAATAATCGTAAAAGTGACTGTAATTAGCTTCGTCCAGTTTTAATAATCGTAAAAGTGACTGTAATCAGCTTCGTCAAGTTGCTCCGTTTTATATTCCTTCGAGCAGTCTGAATAGATCATCCAAATATTTTTAATAATCGTAAAAGTGACTGTAATCAGCTTCGTCAAGTTGCTCCGTTTTATATTCCTTCGAGCAGTATGAATAGATCATCCAAATATTTTTAATGATCGTAAAAGTGACTGTAATTAGCTTCGTCCAGTTTTAATAATCGTAAAAGTGACTGTAATCAGCTTCGTCAAGTTGCTCCGTTTTATATTCCTTCGAGCAGTCTGAATAGATCATCCAAATATTTTTAATAATCGTAAAAGTGACTGTAATCAGCTTCGTCAAGTTGCTCCGTTTTATATTCCTTCGAGCAGTATGAATAGATCATCCAAATATTTTTAATGATCGTAAAAGTGACTGTAATTAGCTTCGTCAAGTTGCTTCGTTTTATATTCCTTCGAGCAGTCTGAATAGATTATCCATCCATCTTCCACATGTACTAGCATTTAGCACTCCCACCTTCCCACACATTCCTCCAAAAATAAACTGTTGTAGAAAGACTTTGCCTGTCATGTTGTTACGTTGGGACTTCTCACGTGTCTGACAGTAAAGGCAGAACAAGCCCACGAAATTTCGTCGTTAGCAAGAGCCTTGAGCACCATACAGATGGCAATATAACTTTGCTCAGTTTCGCCCCAAATTTGGTAGAGAGCCCCCCAGGGAGGAACAGATCTGAGGGTCTCCCACTCCTCTCCTCCTACCACACACGTTTCAAGAGGACTTTCGTCTCATAGCATATTTAGAGTGCCCAAATGCCGCGCAGACACTATACATTTGCAAACATCCATGCCTTCTCCATTATTCGAACTCGGGTGCTTCGGTACACCAGTCCGCGTCACTAATCAATATCCTGGTTGGGTGGCGAATAAACTGTCATCGATTTCAACTATATTATTAGGACTGCCTATTCGCCCATTGAATCTTTGCATCACATGTTAGGAACGCATTCCCCTCATGAAATTGTTCCAATCAATTGCAGCATTTCCATGCATATTAAGCTGTTTGTCACACCATTTGATGACGTCAGCTCCTCTGTCAAAGAATGCATAAATATAATAGCAGTGACAACGACATTCTGGAACCATTAAACCCCTTTCCAACATGGAGGCCCTTCTGTTTACGATTTTTAACATTCACCTAAAAATGGTTTCGTCATTAGATATAGTTTTCTGTTATGGCTAATCTCATATACACGTTTATCAGTTAAAAGATATGTTTCTTGTGAAAATGATAAGGCCTCCATCTCTTTATTATCTTCGTAAATTTAGGATTGTTAACCTCATGTTCACAAAAAAAGCAAGGCATATTTTAAAAAATCCTAATGCGAATTCGATAATCTTAGCAAAAATGAAACACGATATTAATAAAATGGGTCAAGGTATCTCGGTTTATTAGCGATTCAGTCTTCGGGGGCCGCTATAATGAGGAAATTCTCAAACTTCTTTAGCTGGTCTTTACAGATAATTTTTAACCAACCTGGCAAATATTTTATCAATTTCTTGCCATCTCGGCCACAGTCTGAAAGTTTCCAGAAAATATGTTTTTCAAGACTGTAGGATTTTTAGTATTTTTCAGTAGTGCTTCCTATCTTCCTTCGATCAGAGCTTCAAACATGTTAGCAATTAATTAGTTCCTTTATTAAAAACACATTCCGTCAACATTAATTGTTAAATACTTGCTTTATTCAGAAACATTACCGTCAACATTACTGCTCAAAAAAACATTACAGTTCAAATTATTATCGTTCTGAAAAAAACTGTTGTTGCCAATCGGGAAAATACATTTTAAATAAATTAATACGTTGCGTTTACATTCGGACATCCTGACTTAGTAACGACCTCTGAACATTAAGAACTTATATTTAAAAAAATTAAATCTGTAATATTAATGTTTATAGTTCGAAAGTCTTTAGCTGTCATATAGATTCACCATCGTTATCTATTCTTTTTCCGTGTCCTAGTTTTAGTAATATGCGGCGTGTTGTTATCGTTATCCCCAGTAACACTAATGTCATCACCATCATCATCGTCTTCTTCTGATTCAGCTTGACACTGTCATGACTTTAATTGGCTCACATGAGCTGTCGTACTAAAGAAATGTCCTTTCACCTTCTCTTCTAATTGAGTCAATCTATACGTATCACTTGGTAAAACTTCTGTAACTACCAAAGGTCCTCGATACTTTTGTTGTGTTTTGGTTGATTCTCCAGTTGATTTAGGTACTCTTCTCATAACTACTATTTCTCCTCTTTCGAATGTTAAAGAATTGCTTTTCTTCTTGTCATAATTTGCTTTCATTTTCATCTGCATATCTTCAATTCTCTTTCTAGCTTCATTCTGTAAGATTACTGGATTCTCCCATTCATTTGCGTCTTCATCTGTAATCATCCTCATGAATCCGTCGTTAAATTTTGGTGAATAACCGTGAAGCATTTCGAAAGGAGTTTTATTTGTAGTTTTATTTATCATATTGTTTAGATTTCTTTCGCATTCCTTAATCTTTTTGTCCCAGTCTCTCTGATTCGGATTTTCCATACTCGTTTTAATCGTAGCCAAAATTCTTCGATTCGCTCTTTCCACCATTCCATTACCACTTGGATGTTGAGTTGAATTGAGTGTATGACTGATTCCATTATTTTGACAGTACTTTCGAAATTCCTTCGCTGTGAAACATGTTCCTCTATCACTGATAATTTTTTCTGGTAACCCAAAATCATCTACAAAACTTTTCAATGCAACTAACACATACTTGGTTGCAGTACTTTCCATAGGATATAAGCGTGTAAATCTCGTAAAATTATCAATTATTACAAATAATTCTGTATTTCCTCTTGAACTTTTTACGAATGGTCCTAAATGATCTATATGTATAATTGCAAAAGGTCTTCTACCAGGTCTAATTGGATGCAGTACTCCTTGTTTCTTACCAATATGCATTTTATTTACTAGGCATTCGAAACATATCGAAATGTGACGCATAACATATCGTTTCATTCCTTTAAACCAGTATGATTCCTTGATTTTGGCAACAGTTCTGTCTGCTGAAAAATGTCCCAAAAGATCGTGAAATTTTACTACAATACCTTTTCTCATCGATTTAGGTATGACATATAACAATTTCTCCTTTTCCTGATCTTTCACTTTACGAAATAATCGATTATTCTTCAAGACGTAATTTTCAGTTACATATTTCTCTGCATTCGTTCTATCATTTATCTTTTTCTTTAAAATGTCTATTAATTTGCGTAATTCTGGATCTGAATGCTGAATCATAAGAATTTGTTCATCTATCGTTAGCGTTAAACAAACTTCCAAGTTGTTTTCAATTATGGAGTCTAAAGTTTCTTCTGGCTGATCAACTGGCGATCGGCTCAATGCATCTATGTGACTCATTTTTTTACCTTGTCTGTGCTTTATTTCAAGATTGTATTCCTGGATCAGATTACTCCACCTTGCTATCTGAGGATTTGAAGTTTTCTTCGCGTTTAAATAAACTAAAGCTTGGCAGTCTGTAATTACCGTAAATCGGATATTCCAATTAAAAATTGTCGAAGTCGTGTCAAAGTCCAAACTATAGCCATTAATTCTAATTTGCTTGAATGATAATTCTTTTCTGTTTCTGTTGTTCCTTTACTTACACAATAAACTAAATGCCACTTTTTTATCTTCACCTTTTTGCAACAGCATTCCTGCCAGCTTCCTTTGCTGCTCGCGTCTGTGCGCACTTCAGTCTCTGCTTCCGGGATTATATAATGCTAGTACTGGTTCATTAGTTAAATGGATCCTTTAAAGTACTGAATGCTTCTTGCTGATCTTCGTTCCAACGAAATGTTTCATCCTTCCTCGTCAGTCTCGTTAGCGGCTCAGCTTTCTTTGCGTATTTTGGTACAAACCTTCTAAAGAAACTTGTAAGACCTAAAAATTGTTTAACTTCATGTTCATTGGTTGGTTTAGGAAAGTTTAATATGGCTCGTACTTTTCTTGGTCATTTGATTGCGAAATGGTTGCATACCATTTGATTTTATTAGAAATCCCAAATGCTCAACTTCATCTTTTCCAAATTCGCATTTTGTCAGTTTCAATGTCAGCATTGCTTCTCTCAATCTATCAAACACTTTCCTAAGTTTTTTCATCATTTCTTCCCAAGATTTAGCCGTAATTAATATGTCGTCCAAAAAGCACAATACTTCTTTATTAAGCAATGGACCTAAAACTTGATTCATAAGTCTCTGAAATTCTGCAGGTGCATTAGCTAACCCAAAGATCATACGTTCAAATTGACCAGTATCATCTGGAGTGATGAAAGCTGTTTTCAGTTTCGCTTCTTCAGTTAAAGGAATCTGCAAATATCCATGAGCTAAGTCCAATGTAGTGAAAACTTTACACTCACTAAGACATTCAAGAAGATCATCTATCCTAGGGAGTGGAAATTTATCTTTAACAGTTTGCGAATTCAACTTTCTATAATCTATCACTAATCGTAATTCACCTGTTTTTTCTTTACGAGTAAAACTGGACTAGCATACGGAGATCTTGTTTCAGTAACAATTCCATATTTCTTCCATTCATTTATTATCTTCTTTATAGAAGCACGCTCTTCGGCATTGGTTTTATACGACTTCATGCAAATAGGCTTACTCCCTTCAATTTTTTTAATATCCATTTTTGTTAAGTTTGTACATCCTAATTCCTCCATATTTAATGCAAAACAATCTCGATACTAATTTATCAAATGTAAAACTTCCTGTTTTCTCTCTGGCGTAATATTGTTATTAACTTTAATTTCTTCTAAAGTAATCGGTCTCTTAAACTTCTTAATTTCATTTATTATCAGTATTTCCTTTTGACTTGAATTTTCAGTTTTCTGATCTGAACTTGGTTCAACTAATTCTGCTACTTCCGCTCTACCGATACATTGATTCTCTTTCAAAATTAGTTTTCGATCGCTGTAGTTAGTGACTGGTATCACTGTTTCTCCCTGTATTACTTCCAATAATGACCCTAACTCATCTTCCGATCCACTTATTAAAACATAACCGTTATTTATTTCATCAGTTTTAACTTTCACGAAATTAACCGTATTACTTTCGATTTGAGTTTCTTGGGAAGCCTTCAGTTTAATTCGCGGAGTGTTGCTATCATTTTGCAACTGTGAAAATGGGCAGTCATTAGCATAGCGTATGTGCAAGGTATTACCTATCTTGGCGTATGCAATATGTGGTAAATCAATCCATGTTCGACCAACTAATAAGTCGCATGGTTGCGTTTCATCTCCTACAATTAGAACTGTAATGTCCTTTCCTTCCACATTATCAATCTCTAAGTTAACAGTTACTTTTCCCAATGTTCTAGCGGCTGGTTTATTCTGGTTCCCAAAGCCAAACAATTCCTCCACATCAGGTTTTATAATAAGATTCAGTCTCTTAGCCGCAGACTGTTTCAATAAACACGAACTAGAACCCGTATCTATGATTGCAGTAATTTCTTCTCCATTATTGATGCGAGCATACTTTAAATATACAGCTGGTGAAACACCTGAATTCTGGTCCATGGATAAATTATTTTAACATTTGTCAAGTCTGGATTCTTAGACGTACACTTTTTAAAAGTATGACCCTTTTCATTACATTTCCTGCAAATAATTTCTTTTTTAGGTTAAGGACAATCCGTCGCTATATGTCCATAATCATTACAATTGAAGCATTTCGGCTCACCTCTTTTCATTGCGGATGCCAGAATTATATTCCCTTTTCCTTTCGTCTGTTTTATAAAATTTATCTCTCAGATTGTATTTATTATCAAAACTGTTTTTAAAACCCACTTTGAAATTACCATCTGTCTGCATGGAATCGTTAACATTTCTTTGTCTTGAATACTGATTATAGGATCCTTCATAAAATTTAGAACCAGATTTGGGCTTAGAATTATGCCTAAAAGTTTTATTTTCTACTTGAAGTACTTTTATCCCTGCCCGAATATTTTCATATTCATCTAGTTTTTCAGCCAACTCTTCAGGATTAATGAATTTAGACCAATCATCAATGAAATGGTCTCGGATAGCAGCGGGGACCCTCTTCTTTAATAGATCAGTAATAATAAGTTGTTTTAAAGAGTCAAACTCTGTTACATTTAATCCAGCAAGCCACTCTTCAAAGTAATTTTTTAATTCAAACGTGAAGTCCTTCCACGTATTACGCAACGTTTTAATATGATCAACAAACTTTTGCCGAAACTGTTCAGGGCTTAACTTAAATTTTCTCAGTAGCAGTTGTTTAACGTGCTTATAGTCGTTAGCTTTCTCCTCTGATTCACGGGCAATTAATTGAGTTATTTCATAAGGCAATAGACACAACAGCTGAGAAACCCAGTTTTGTTCTTCTAACCCAATACGTCGTGCCTGTCTCTCAAATAAAACTAAATAAAAACTTATATCACCTTCATTCAAATCCTACTTATGCATTAATTTATTCATATCACAAATATTACTTCTACTAACATTAGAAGGAACAGAATCATTTACATTACTACTTCTGATTTCCGCTTCTATTTTCAATTTTTCAAGTTCAAGTGTTCTTTGCTTATCTCTTTCTATAATTTCCATTTCAAATGCTCTTTGCTTATCTTTTTCTTCCATTTCAAATGCTCTTTGCTTATCTTTTCTAAAATTTCTAACTTTTCCCTGTCTAAACGATCATTTATAATTCTATCTAGCATTTGTTTAGTAAAGTCTTCATTATAATTCTTACTATTCAAAATCATATCTCTTAAGCCTACAATTTTAATATCAGAAGGGACATCTACATCAAGTTCCAAAGCAAGTTCTTTTAAGTCACATTTCTTGCCTCTTGCCAAATAAGCCATCTTAGACTTCAATTTTCAAATAATAATACAATAATTATACTTAAGTTCTTTCCGTTTAATACTTAGACATAACGTATACAGTTTATAAATTCACGTACCTTTCTACCTTCAGTTTTGGCGAGCTTCCACATTCAGTTTAGGCTTAGCGTACGTTAAGGCAATACGTTGTTAAATCTAGATAATAATTCTAGTTTATCCCACTTCTGAAATGTTAGCAATTAATTAGTTCCTTTATTAAAAACACATTCCGTCAACATTAATTGTTAAATACTTGCTTTATTCAGAAACATTACCGTCAACATTACTGCTCAAAAAAACATTACAGTTCAAATTATTATCGTTCTGAAAAAAACTGTTGTTGCCAATCGGGAAAATACATTTTAAATAAAATTAATACGTTGCGTTTACAAACAAGAAGCTACCAGGAACTGCCAGTGCACATTTGGAACACTTAGTCTGTCGCAGACTTGCTGTGGTCTTAAAGTTACTGCTCTGTTATTATTGCTTTAACACGTTCACGCTGGCGCACGGGCCACCAGTGGCCCGCATTAGTCTGTCTCATCGGGCGGTGCGTACCGCGCTGGCCCGCACTAGTCTGTCTTATCGGGCGGCGCGTACCACCGGTGGCCCGCACTAGTCTGTCTTATCGGGCGGTGGGTGCCACCGATGGTACGCATTCGATTGTGTTATTAGACGCTGAAAATTAAAATAATGAAAAATTTACTTTTATTTATTATAAAATCTTTTTAATAGCAATTATAATTAATAACTATTAGCAAACATACAACTCGTATACAGGTCTGAACAAGTAATAATCGCGCGCCGCCAGATGAAACGCGGCAAAAATTCGAGCTCCGTCTCACGGCGAAGAACATAAAAATTGGCCCCGGCATGAACATGTTAAACTTAACTTAGTGAGCGAACTTAACTAAACTTAACTTCGTAATCTGCGAAGTGTATTAAAGGGAATTTAGAATTAACTCTGTGTTGTCTCTGAGTTATCTTACCTGCAAAAACTCTTATTTGATTTGCATAAAGTTGGAATAAAGTTTCAAGTTTTACTGTTCACCTAGCTCGGTTATTTAAGGAAATTGGATTATTTAATGATCCTATAACATGCAAATAATGAAAATAAAATCTTACTTCACGTGATAGATGTTGTGGTCACTTTCAGTTTTCGCCTCCCACGCCATGTGTTTGAAAGTGAGAAAAATAGCAAAAAGAACCTACAACATAAGTTATATTATTTTCAACTGCATGCATTTCAAGTTCTTAAACTTTAATATTTTCATTGTAAAATGCTCTTCGGTGCCGTGCAAAAGAACTAAATTCTTTTTAAAAAGTTATACCATTTTCAAATGTATGCATTGCAAGTTTTTAAATTATATTTTCATTGTGAAAGGCTTAGTAATGCCGTGCAAAAGAACTAAATTCTTTCAATGCTATTCTTTTGCATAAAAATAATTATATGCTTGAAATTAGACAAGGCAAAATTTATATTAGCACAGATTTTAAATAATGCTCACGCATTTAAAGATCAGAGGTCTATAAAAAGAAAGAGCAGTGTTAGATCAACTCTAACACTGTTCCTTCTTTTTATAGATCTCTATAAAGATATGGACAGATATGGAGCTTTTTATTGACAATCAAAACCAATCTAAGGCTAAATTTTAATTATTTTAATTTAATTTTTATACTGTCATGCTTTTTTTTTATATGCATGTCACCATATAATGAACACTAAAAGATTAGTATTTAAAAAAAATCTGATGTGTACACCACATGACTTCCTTGTGCCGATTATTAAATTACACGCATTTTTTCTTGCATTTCATTTAAACTTATTGGATTGAATTAAATCTACTTCGTCGATAGCGCATAAACCACAATAAAATAAATTCACTCATTTAACCCTCTGAGCGTTACGGGTTTAGCCCTGAAATTTCAAAGTTCCTCAAAATGTCATGAATGAGTGATATTTTCTTGATTTTAATTAAAAAATGACTTTTTCATTTTGTACCTTTATTTCTTTTCTTCCAATATACATCCAAGCTGAAATCAGATACATTAAAAGCTAGCAGAAATTTTCATGTATAATGAATGTGGAAGGCAACCTTCTGTACGGAATTTTCCGGCCGTAACGCTGAGGGTTAAAATTCGCTATATTTGTTTACCATACCATAGCGACACTCTGGGGCTAGGTTCACCTAACAGCGTTACATTTCGTTCATATTATAACTCAGAATGCACATAAATTTATATCATTTGAAGAATTATCTAATCGTTGCCACATGTTCTATTCAAATACTATAATAAATCTAAAACGATGTACAAAAGAAGTTAAGCAAACAAAACAAAAAAGAAACAATTTTTCTCAGACGATTCAGTATTTCTCATTCAATTAATTCAGTTCTCACTTTTCGACAAGGCAAAAATACATAAAAACTCAATATATCTGTATTAAAAGTTACGAAGTAAATTTTAAACACTTATTTCCTCGAATAAATTCCAGAATGCGTTAAATATGATTTAATTCGCAATAATAAAAGAAGGCGTTATCTTTGTTGTTGAGAAGATTAGTTTCTTTATATTGGCAACAAATCCACTATTTTGCCAAGTTTCAAATGTAAACAAACATGTCCGCCATCACAAATTAATTAGGCTTAGTTGTACTTAAACGACTTAGTTGTACTTAAATTGTTCATAACTTCACAAATATTGCATGCAGATTTACTAAAGGCATAAAAACCTTAACCGGAAGATAAGAACAACATATCACTTTTAAATTTATACCTCTTAAGAAAATTCTTCTTAAGAGTCAGGTTAGCAAACAATCTAGTCGTATGAAAAGAAAGCGTTTGATTAATGCCCTACTTTATCATTGATAAAGCAACGCATTTATCATTTCTTATCAAACTTTATCACTGCTGATACACTGGCCAAATTCTTTCTTAGGCAATGAATGTATCGGATTTTTTGTTGTCCATAATTCCACATTGAGCACATCCATTAGAAAGTACATCCATTAGAAAGAAATTGTGTTTGACATTGTTCTATCAAACCTTGTATGGGAGACTTCAAGCCTTCTGGGCCAAGAGCTCTGGCTAAGGCCTACAGTCTAAGATTGTTTAGGAACTATTTTGATTATTCAGAAGGGCTTGAAGGGCTCTTTTGGAATCTGACCATATGACTGCCTTTACAAAAGAATAGTTACGAATCGACAGTTGTTGGATAGCCATAGCAATGGCTTCGATTTCCCCATCAAAAGGCAGTAGTAAGTAGGCTGTAAAAATTCTTTATAAAAGCAGTTTTGGGCTGATAAAGGGATTTACTTTTTTAGAATAAAAAACCGTTAAGCTTAAGTTGGGATACAAATTAGGTTTTGAGAAATAGCCTTACAGAATTTAGATATCAGCATAGGCAAGCTTTTGATATTAAAGCAGCCCATCATATTTCACTAGTTACCATTTTTACATTTCTTTTAAATAAATAGTTCGATAAAAGTTGACCACACTGATTAACTGAAACACAATACAATAATATATTAATAGCTTTAGAAAATAATTACGAAACTACTTAGAAATTAAACAACGTACCAGAAAACAAACGGTAGCAATTAACAGGTTTTCGGGTATTCCTCTGAAATCTGTTTCAGGCACAAAAGTAGTTTCATTGATTAAACTGAGTAATTCACAGGAATCATTATTTCGTGCCATAGACTTCGGTAGTAAACCAACTTCTTTAAAATAACGCACAATACTTGACATTTTCCGGTTATTATTTTCTTGCACAGATTAAGTTTATGACATAAAATTATATGAAAATTACAAAACGTATCTGAGCTGTGTAAAATAAAAAAAGAGAATGTTATAATAAAATACGTTATTTTTCATATTTAATCGTGCCTTAAATTTTATGTCACGTGACAGAATTAAAATATCATTGACTCCTAACGAGATAATTATTATAAGTCCAAAACTCAAATCAGTTGTTTGTTAAACATAAAATATAAATAATTCTTCGTTTAAAAAAAAAAAAAAAAAAAAAAAAAAAAAATTGAAAGCTTTCAGATTTTACATTACGCCCAAAGGGACTTTTTTATCTTTTGTGTGTTATCCTTATTTATTAAATGTCATGTTTTTACTCTATAAGTAAATCGTCATGTTACCTTTATTTATTAAATGTCATGTTCTTACTTTAGTTTTATGACTTAGACCAAAAAATTCAATTCAACAGCAATATCACAAAATATTTAAAAGAGCATATATTTAGAATTTTTTCCGATACACAGTCTCGCGCGCTGGAGATAAAAATGTTTTTTCCGTACAGTGCTGCCACTGCTCGTTTTGAAATTGTTCAGGTTCTTAATCAAAAATTCATAAAATCTTTACAAAATCTGAAATAGATAATAAGACAAATTCCAAATTTGGACTTCCACATGCCCATATTCGGATGGAGACGTACGTTATTCAAAATTTGATGGCTCTAGGTACCGTTGATTTTTCACAATGCGAGAAACATACATATATTTATGCAGATTCTTCATTATTTAATTTCTTTAAATATAATACAGGGCTGTAATATTTGGCGACAAAAATTTAAAAAGTGATTCGCTGTTTATATTGAATCAACGCAGATTGCCAAAACGAAATTAAGAGCCCTTGTGGGCAAATTACCGCTTTGGGCTGAAAAATGTTTAACAAATAATTAATGAAATTTCAAAGATACAATTTGAAGAAAATAACCGAGTTTTCCGATATTAACTATCTACCTTTCAGCCCTAGACTAGATAAAGACTTTTTAAAGAAAAAAATCTGATTCTATTCGGCAAGTGGAGGGAATTCCGCATTCTAATACATGACTTTTTTTAAGTATGTTCTTTTTTAGAACAACAATAAACTGAAATTAAATACTGTTGTCACGTACAAATTGTATTAATAATATATTGCTAGCATTTATAATATTTATGTAAAGCTAACGTGTTTATATTAAAATAAAAAAAAAACTTAAAAAGCAGAGATAATCAGAAAATTGTACATTAGGTTTTTACATGATGTTGAATACAAATACACAATATGTGGCAACACATATTTAAAAAAAAATGCAAAAATTTGAATAGCACGTAGGATAAATATCCTTAAGTATACCTTTTACAAAATCCAGTTTTTTTTTATTACATGTTCCATTAGGCACTGCGTGGAAAGGGAAATCATTGTAAACTTGTATAATTCAAAAACTTTACAATTCTATGAGAAAAGATCATGATCTATGATAGGACATAGTTAAAGCTTGTAAGCTATGTTCTGTATGTTTCTTCATGTCTTTCCTTACACTTCTTGCTTCACTAATCTACTAATGCTTTACTCACCCGGCCTCTTGTTTTGAGGGGGGGGGGAGATGTAAAATATGAAAAAATACGATGGCTTGGTTTTGTTTACGATATCAGGTGGCAAATTCAATAAAAAATAAAGAAGGAAAAGGCCGAAAACGGTGCACCACATCTATTGATGACAGAAGAATAAAAAGACTACGTCTCCAAGATAGAAAAATGTCATCAGCGGCCATCAGAAGTGATCTGAAGGATGCTGGTGTTTCTGTAAGTTCAAGAACAATCAGAAGATTAACAGATGTTGGACTGAGAGGTAGAATTCCACGAAAAAAGCCTTATCTTAATTTTCAGCAACGAAAAAAAAGACTTCAGTGGGCAAAGGAACACATTAATTGGACACATGATTGGTCGCCTTCATGTCATCGATGGGACACTGAATGCCACAAAATACATTGACACTATTCTAGAACCAAATCTTCTACCTTCCATCAGAGATATCTTTTCCAACAATGGTTCGTTTATTTTTCAGCAGGATTCTGCTCCTTGCCACACGGCCAAAATATCGGAAGAGTGGTTTCGTACAAAGAGCATTAAATTGTTGTCATGGCCAGGAAACAGTCCTGACCTCAATCCTATCGAAAATTTGTGTCACCGTTTGAAAACTCTTTGTCCGAATGAGGCGCTCATCAAATAAAAGGGAACTAATTGAGGCTATAATTGTTTCCTGGCATCATGTAATAACGAAAGAAGAACTCAATGAAACGTCGATGTGAAGCTGTAATAAAAAGAAGGGTACCCTATTAAGTACTGATAACTCACTGCAATCATCACTATCTAATGTATATCGATAACTATTATCGTTTAACTTTTTTGTATTGCGAATAATTGAATTTTGTGTTTTGTATTGAATTCAGTAATAAATTCTCTTTAAAATGATATATACAAGTTTGCATTTTGTAAAACGTAACGTTTTCTATAAGCATACAAAGTTCAAAAACATAAAAATTTCCAAAAGTGTCCACAATTTAAGCCACCACTGTACATATATAGTAAGAAATTTAGAACCAGTGTTACACAAATACCAAAAATTGAAATTCATAAGCAATAAATTTTCAAAAATCCATACATACCAACTCCTTTACTTGGCTTAGAAGTTCCTACCGGGTCTTTTATTTTCGCAATCGTTGGTCGTAGTCATATACTTCCAAATACAAGAAGGGTTTTAATTGACGAAAATATTCATGTTTGGACAATTTCAAATTTTGAAAAAGTTATTTTTTCGATAAATAACGAAACCTATCTTTTAATTCCATCGCTTTGTTCTTATACTTATATCTGGGGAAGTTTTATATTCGTTACGAAAAATAAAATTATAAGAAGTTCCGCTCCCGTACGACAAAAATTGACTGAGGTATTTAATTCCAAAATTTGTAATTTTTGATGTCATTTTCAACTTGAGGAATCGGTTAATTAAATAAGTTAAAATAATTCGAGGAAATAAGTTTTAAGTGAAGTTCAACAAAAAATATCTATATTGTAATAGGCCATGCAAGGACGTCGTGTAGTGTCTACTTGATATTTTTTAATTTTGTTTACATTGCATTTTAGAATATTATTGCGTTTAACTTGTTAATAACTTATTCCCCCATTATTTTTTTTTAGTATTTAAGCCTGTTCCTTTTCTATGTAGAATACTTACAGCATCTGAATAAAGAGGTATATTTTTCTGTACTTTTTGCTCCCGGAGGGGGAGGGTTCTTTTAGTCCATTGCTGAAACGGAGGGAAATTCACGTTACGTTTTGGCATCCAACCGAAACCAAAATGCTTCAAAATTCTTACTTGAAATAAATAAAAAAAAAAAAAAATAGCAATAAAAAAATTCGAAAGCTTTCAGATTTTATACTACGCTCTAAGAGGTGTTTGTTTAATGTTTTGGTGTTACTTTTATTTATTAAATATCATGTTCTTCGCATTTACACCATAAAATTCAATTCAACAGCGATATTACAAAATATTTAAAAAGAGCACATCTTTAAAATTTCCCATTCACAGTCTCCCGCGCTAGAGACAATTTGTTTTTCATACAGTGTTGCCACGGCTCGCTTTGAAATCGTTGAGTTCGTTAATCAAAAATTCGTTAAAGTTTTACAAAATACGAAATAGATAATAAAACAAATCCTATATTCAAAATTGGGGCTTCCAGATTCCCATATTCGAATGGAAAACTACATTATTTAAAATATGATGTCCCTAGGTATCGTTGTGTTTTTAAAGTAAGAGAAATATATATATATTCATGTAGATTCTTCATTACTTAATTTCTTTAAATATAATGCAGGGTTGTAATATTTGATGAAAACAAATTGAAAAGTGAAACACCGTTTTATAGTGGACGATGCAAAATGCCCAAAGGAAATTAATAGCCCTTCTAGGCAAATTGACCCTTTGAGCTAATTGTAATATTTTTTCACTAAATTAATTATTTTAGTATGCAGTGTGCTACAAAAGTAGTAAACAGTAATGAAGTAGTTACTAACAAAATGTTTAAAAATGTAAAGGAAAGGAAAAGAAAAAAGGTGTATGCTTTTCAATTGACTGCAGTGGTAGATAAATGGTACTCGGAGTCCGTGACGTAAAACTTTATAATGCTGACGCCTTCTTTAACAGGATAAATGAGTTTACTTTTGTTTTTCACAATCGTCACAACATAGCGATTCATCAGCCTCTGTGCTCCTTCTCAGTCTTCATTTTGGCATTTTTTGCATCATTTATTAATTTCTGGTAAGTAGTTTCGGTTAAGAAAAAACTGTTTCTTTCAGCATTAACTCGAATTTTGGACAGTTCGTCGTCAAATCGTTGTTTCATGCCTACAGACCAACACTACAGCTCCAACACTACAGCTTGCTCCTCAACACTACAGCTTGCTCCAACACTACAGCTTTCTCCAACACTACAGCTTGCTCCTCCATTTGCATGCAACACAGTAAAACGTTGATTTCTTGCTCAACAAATTTAAGTAAAATTGCTTATTTTGATGCTCCCGAACAAAAAGCAAAGGGCAACTGACAAATTCTGAGCATGGTGTGCGCGCTGAATGTCACGTGCCTTGCCACGTGATATTCCAATCGAATCGAAGATGTATTTCATACTTCGCCGGTTTCTCATTTGACATTCTGTAGAATGCCTAGGAAATGTGGGAAATATGAATCGTTTTATACATTGCCGGCTAGTTTCAGGCATGCAATGCGTAGGCATTCTATAGAATGCCGTGTTTCAAACTTTGTCGGTAACATTGACATTCGAATATTGTTATTGAATAATCGAATCCCCTTCCTTTTGTATACTAAAGCATGGAAATACATTCCTTATTGTGATCAGCAATTAGCTTAGTGTTAACAAAATATTATAGAATGAATTTTTTTAATGAAATAATGCGCAAATGAAAGGTAAAATTTCTAAATAAGATCTAAATATGGTGTAGATATAGTATAG